CCACTTAGCCATACTGTCCTTGGCCTTGTCTGTTGACCTCTACCACCCTAGGATGGTGTTTAAAGGAAAAGCTTATTTGAGGTATAATTTAAATACCATAAAATTCACCTATTACAAGTATGCAGTTTAACAATTTGAGGAAATTTACAGCCACAATCTAGTTTGAGAACATTTTCCACCATCCCAAAAGATGCCCCGTGCTACTTGCAGTCTAATCCCTATTGCCGCTCCTCAGCCCGCAGCAACAGCTGGTCCACTTTCTGTCTATAAATTTGCCTTTTCTAGACACTTCATGTGGAGAGAATCATACAGTGTCTTTCGTGTCTGCCTTCTTTCACCTGGCATACTGGTTGTGGGGTTCACCCATGTTGCAGTAGTTTGAGTTCAGTCCTTTTTGTGGCCCAATACTATTCTGTGGTATGGGCTATGCTGCATCTTGTTTATTTGTTCATAGATGGGTGCACAGTGGGGTTGTTTCTTGGGCGTTTGTGTGCTTGTCTTTGTGTGGAGTATGTTTTTCTTTCTGTTAGGCAGATTTCTAGGTGTGGAGTTGTGGGGCCATATGACAAGCTTATGTTTATCATTTTAAGAAACGGCTACACTGTTTTCCAGTGTGGCTGTACAGTTTACCCTCCAGCCCACCCCACACCACCACCAATGCACAAAGATCCATTTTTCTACATCTTTGCCAACACTTGCTATAGTCTGCCCTTCCCATCATAGCTATGCTAGCGGATATAAAATGTTGCTTCCTTATGCTTTTATTCAGTGTGCATTTCCCTGATGGCTAACCTTGGTGAGCATATTTCTGCATAATTACTTCTAGGCTGGCATTTGACCTTGCGAGCTGGGACTTGGCAAGCTTTCTCTGTAAAGAGCCAGATTGCAGCTGCTTGGGGCTTTGTGGACCACATTCGATTTCTGGTGTATGTTGTCTCCACCCCCAACTCTTAGAAGAACCCTTAAAACCATTTTTGGTTTCATGTGTACAAACAGACAGGAGTCTGGCTTTGACTCACCCATGTTTGTCTACCCCATGTTAAGTCAGCACCTGTTTTCATAACCCCACTCATGTGCCCAGCCACAGGGCAGTTCCACGAGGCCCCTATAATCTACCCAGCTCAAAGGACTCCAGCGGCCTGTGGAGTCCACACCAGATAAACTGCTAGGCCCCCCACACAGTGGGGGAACTGCAGACTCAGTGGGAGGAGCCTGGTGATAGATCCAGGGGCCCAGGGAGCCTGGGTCGGGTCTCCAGAGGTCACCCGGTCCCAGCCCACCATGATTCACTGCCTGGTGAGCTCATCAGAGTTCCTGGGATGAGACGTGCTGATGTGTCACCTGGGGTGTGGCCAGGCCCTGTAGCCCTGGGCAGGTGGCCCCCGTGCCAGGGTTCAGAGCCTCTTTGGAGTCCCCCATGCCTGAGACTTAATAGCCCACCCTCCACCTGTAGTTCCCGCCAGCTACTCCTATGACCCCGACACTCTCTGGTCACTGGCATCTGGCTCTCAGAGCCTCATGGTTGGTTTCTGGCCCTCACCACCCATCACCAATCATTCTTGACACCTGCTTTGGTATTTCTTGGTGAATCCATCTTGCCTGTCCACCTAGCTCCACTGGCCCTAACCAATGTGACCAGAAGAGCAAGAGCTTTGGAGGCAACTGGAGCAAGTTTTGACTCCTGCCTGTGTCTTTCTGGCTGCTTGATTTGGGGTGAGTCACTTCCCTTCCCTGGGCAGTAGCAGTCTTGTAAATGGTTGCTAACAGTTACACCACAGAAGTTGTGGCCACCCTCACCCCAACATCACCTGCCAGCTGTAGGCAGGTGAGTCACTGTGAACACCGTGACTGCCCACGGGTTTATGACTCTGGACACAAGACAGCCAGGAGTGCTGGAGATTAAAGGGAGTCTGTGGACAATCGCCCTGCTCCCCGCTTCTTGGCTGGTCACTTTTTGGGTAGATCTGCACCGCCTCTGAGTCCCCTGCAGGACTGAGCACCTGCTGTCCAAGTGGCTAGAGTTGCTGTGCTGTCAGACAGCGTTCACCTCTCCGGCTGTTTCTCTTCCTGTCTCCACCACTGTTTCTTCCTACAGTTGCTTTGCAAATCAATAAGCCACTTGCACCTATCCCTTGTCTTAGAGTCTGCTTTCAGGGAGCCTTCACCTACTAACCCTGTACCTCACAGGGTTAGTGTGCAGACTAAATGAGACACTGTTCATCAGAACCTTGCACCATGCCAGACATGTGGCATGTGCCCACTAAATGTCAGTCATCTTGTAGCCTCTGGCACCTGGCTTGATCACTGACTCTGCAGCAGGTGCCCAGCACGCACATGAAGCTGTGGTCCTCACTCTAAAGAGGGGCGGTCAGTGAGCACCAAGGCTAGGCCACCCCTAGCAAGGGCTGGTCTCGGAAGCCATGTTGGTGCAGACGTTGCCGGTGGGTCCTGCTTTGACTCTGTGGAGTGCAGGAGGCTGACTATGGCTGCCCACCCCACAGGCTTGGTTGTATTTTACAGAGTTGTGTTTGGGTTTGTTTGTTTTCAGGGGAGATTGTTTGTTTTCCCTGTTTTTTCAGTGCTTTGAGACAGGGTCGTGCCGTGTATCTCTGCCTGGCCTGGAACTCAAGATTCTCCCACCTCAGCCTCCTGAGTGCCAGGATTACAGGCATGTACCACCACACCCTGCTGTATTTTGTAGAATTTAAATGAGGGGTGGCTGGAAAAATGCTCACCAAATATTAATGATGGCTATTTCTGGGTTGTGGGATTTTTGAGACCTTTTAAAATTTATCCTCCCCTTTGTGCTTTTCAGTATGGTTTAAATTGTTTGCAATGAGCATGAATTATCCTCACAAAAAGAGTGAAGTCATTCCTCTTTCAAAAGTAAATAACTTGCAGCCTATCCACGGCAGCCACTGAGAGCCTCAGCCATGCTCACTGTGGATGACATGGGGACAGATCATTGTGGTTTTGTCTGGAGCTCACTCGGTGGCGAATTTTCTGTGATGATTTCATGGTCACTTAAAAATTAATGACGTTCTCTGGGTACAAATGAAAGCCTCAGAGCCCGGGGCTCAAGGGAGCGTGCACCCTGGGCTGGCTGGGATCTTGGAGTGGGAAGCGTCCGGGCCGTGTTACATCTGGACACTTTGTGTTTTGCCTGGATGTGGTCACACAGCTAGGGCAGCACTTCCTGTTCACAGCGCTGGGGCAGGATGGCCTTGGTTGGCAGTAACCAGGAAGGCACTGGTGACTGTCCAGAGAAGCCTCAGAGGATGGAGTGCATCATGCCACTAAAGTAAAGGAGTCTAGCGACACTCGTCACTGTAGTCACCATCAGCAGCTTATTTGCCAGTCACTAAGCACTCACCCCGGCAGAACTCACCCTGTACTTCTTCCAGTCCTTCAGGATCTGGAAATCTGTAATTGCTCTGGTTCCCTCCATCTGCCACGTGCAAACCGCTGTCTTCACCTCAGAAGCCCGATTCCCTGGTGCCACTGCCAGGAAGAGCGTGTCTCTTCCTAATTCTTGATGCAGAACAAGGGCCTGAGCTCTGAGCAGTGAGAACCAGGGAGCTACAAGAGGGGAGAGAACAGTGGGCAGATGAAAAAAGGGGAAGAGAAAAAAGAGAAAAGTGTAAGAGAGCTGGGAGGGGGAGACTCAAAAACGTTTTGGATGCAAGTTTCTGTGGGTGATGCTGGTGACATCACGATGGGGGATGATCAAGTGAGAGGCCCCAGGAAAGCATGGGGTGTGAAAAAGGAAATGGAATACTCTTGTGTATTTGCCGTGGGATATACATTTCGTGCCTGTGAAGTTTGTCAGAAGCTAAGTAAAGAAAAGAAGTAAAAAGTAAAAAAAGAGCCATTCCACCTGGACTGCAGAAGGGAGTGAACTGTGTGTGTCTGGGATTTAAACGGGCTACACACTGTGTTCTTGGGCCTGTACAGATGAGGGATCCGGGGCCCAGCAGACGGAATGCTCATAGGAAGGTGTGGCTGGCTTCAAATTTGACCTCTCATCCGCCACAATGCCTCCCTCGACAGTCAACTACTGGATCTGACACGGAACATATCCCTCCCAACACTTTGGTTTTTACACCGTTTTCTAAAACCATTTCACAATTCTTAACCCAGAAACAGGGCTCAGGGAGACTGTGGAGGCCTGTGAGTTTCTGTTTGAACCCAATAGTCAACGGAGGTCCCTTCCTCCTCCTTTCCCCTATCCTCATTCAGACTTGGGTTCAGAGATTGTGACATGTCACCCCAGCTGGCTGATGGTGCAGTGAGACTAAAATTAGGTTTTCCCAGTGGAGCGGGGCACTTAATGAAGGAGTCCATCCAGTTAGAAAGTCCTGGCAGGCGGAACCAAGACTGGAGGGAGCAGTGGGCTGGAACATCCGCCTTCCAGCCTCTGTTTCCATGATGTCAGAGAGGCGGAACTGACTTGGCCTCAAATCCACGAGGCCGCAGCCCCCGCCCTGCCACTCTGGCTTTGGAAGCCAGCAAAGGTGAGCATACTCTGTGTTCCTTGCCAGGTGGATCCTGATGGAGCCTCTCCTGGCTGGGGCTGTTCCTGGCCCTCACTCTGGCTGTCATGTTCTGTTGCTGAGCACCACCCTCCAGGGCCCTCTTAGGATAGCAGAAGCAGCCCCTCCGGCTCAGAGCCCTCTGTGGGCCGGGAATGTTCCACTCTTACGGAACTCAAGAACTGGGGGACTAAGTTTGGCAGAAGACACGATCTGAAAGAGAAATCTCTTCCTACACGTTTTTACGTCATTGGGAACAATGGGAAATTGCTCTACTGGTGTGAGGAGCCCGGCTGTCTGCAGGCGCATCCTGTGGCCTTGGATAAAAGCCTTCCCTTCTTCATGTGCCCATTTCTTCATGGGGAGGGAGCATCCAGGCTGACAGCTTCTCAGGCCATTTCACCCTAGCATGTGTGTTCTTTCATCTAATCAGCGACGTGTTTGTGTCTCTTTACTTCTCCCACCCAGAAAAAAATTTACAAATACAAGAAAGTCCTGAGTAACCCAAGCCGTTGGGAAGTTGTCTTGAAAGAGATCCGGACACTGGTGGATATGGCCCTTACGTCCCCCCTGCAGGATGACTCCATCAACCAAGCTCCACTGGAAATTGTCTCGAAGCTGCTCTCAGAGGTGAGCGTTCCCCCAGCCCCTTTGCACCCTTCCCCTAACACTAGCTGTGTTCACCTCTGCGGGGCACCTTTCCGAGCAGTATACTCAAGCAGAGCTCCACCCAGGGTGGAAGGAAGTGAGCACTCCCCACCCAGCAATGGAGGACAGCAGAGGGGGAGGCTCATTTGCTCCAGTTGCCTCAGTTGCACTGTCCAGGCTTGTCCGGGGATGATGGCAGGGGACTGTTGTCCAGCCAAGCCCAGGTCAGACTCAGAGCCTGGCCTGATGGGTCAACAGCAACAGCCATGGCCCTGGATGAGGTGTCAACCCAGGGCTTCTCTGTTTATTTGTGAAGGGAGTACATCAGTGAGGCTCCAGAGTGCCCTCCCGTCCTGCTCTCCTGCAGCTGGGACCGTAGCTTAGCCCAGCTCCATCTCTCCCATCCCCATTTCCCCCAGCCCCAGCCCTAGCCCAAGGCAGCTCTCTGCCCCTGTCACCTCCTATAGGCTTTGTTTACCTCACTTGGGGCTTTAAAAACCCGATTTCACAGCCAAATGGGAATTTCCAGGTTGTCTTTTTAAAAACAATCAGAAAACCCAGCCAAGTGTACAGCTGTCACTGCCTTGCATCGCACATGGGATGGTCCAGCGCTGTCAGCCTTGCCTGGCGGCTCCATGCCGGAGGAGAGCATATTGAGTGCCAGGCACTGCCCTGGCCCCAGAATGAAGCCGAACCCTGCCCTCCTGGAGCCTATGTTCCAGCAAGGAGAGAAAAACTCAGTCAGTCCCGCTGTCTGTGTGCTGCGTTCCAGTGCTAATCTCAGCGCTCTCTGCCTGTGTGGTGCCTGGGGACCCAGGGGGCTGAATGGCTCCTGATTCGAAATCATCAGAGTCTAGCTTCTGTTCCCCTCCCCTGGGCCTATCCCCGCCTGCACACTGTCTCCCACACACGCCCTGTTGTCCACTCGCTGAACGCCCAGACTGGGCACTGCTCCTCAGTCCAGGAACCTAGTCTGTGACGTTGAGTGGAGAGTCCCTTGCTTGGAGGAGGGGAAGCTGAGATAGAGAGTGGTGGCAGTGACTGTCACAGGCAGAGGGGCAGGAGTCACGTTGGCAGGGGAGACAGCCTCACTTCCCAGAATTGTAAAGATCAGACTCTGAATCGACTCACGCTCAAGGCCTCAAATCACGAGACCACGTGCCCAGTGGCCAGCCCCAAGTTCAAGCTTCATATCTGGAGGAAAGGAAGGCAGGAAGGCAGCTCACCTTCCACAAGCCAGGCAGATATCACAGGCCACACCACTGCATTCTGCCCGTCTTCACTTATGTGAGGAAACTGAGGCCCAGGGTCATTGAGTGACTTCCTCAGCTCACAGGTTCAGAGCTGAGGATTCTACCCCAGGGCTGCCTGGCTCTTTCATCAGAAGACCGTGTTGCCCGGCCCTTCAGTCCCACTAGGCTGGACCACCTTGACACACTGTCAAATTAGTATAGAGACCCAGACAGCAGATGACCTCTGCTAGCCTTCACACTAATTCTGGGGTTTTTAAGCAAGGGTCTCAAAGTCAGCTGACCCTCAAGTGCTAAAAGGGAGGGAAAAAGACATTTAAAGGCTGGGTGTGGTGGAGCATACCTGTAATCCTACTACTAGGGAGGCTGAGGCAGGAGGATTATTTGTGGGTTTTTTTTTTTCTCCACAAATATATAAATCATTTATTATTCAGGTCCATTAACCTCCACTGTCTTCCCCTTCCCTGCTTCCCTCTTCCTCTCCCTCCCATGCCCAGTGTCTTAATAGTCCCTCTTCTATTTTCTTTTTTTTTTTTTGCGGGTACTGGAGTTTGAACTCAGAGCCTACACCTTGAGCCACTCCACCAGCCCTTTTTTGTGATGAGTTTTTCGAGATAGGATCTCCTGAACTAATTTCCTGGGCTAGCTTTGAACCTCAGTCCTTCTAATCTCTGCCTCCTGAATCACTAGGATTGCAAGTGTGAGCCACCAGCACCTGGCTTTCTTGCTTTCTTTCTTTTCTTTTTAATTGTTGTTGTACTGGGGGGTACACTGTGGCATTTACAAAAGTGCTTACGTTATGTCATAGTTGAATTCACCTCCTCCGTGGTTCTCCTTTGCTCTCTCTCCCCCCATTCCTGGAACAGTTTCAACAGGTCTCAGTTTTCCATTTTCATACATGAGTACATAATATTCCTACCATATTCACCCTCCCACACCCTTTCCTTATAGCCTCTCACTAGTACCAATCCCCCAGACAGGTCCTGTTTTGTGAGGTAGGAGGATTGTGAGTTTGAGGCTAGCCTTAGAGAACAGACAGACAAACAGAGAATGAGAGTGTTTCCCTACTGTGAACCATAGCAAAGCGGCCCTGCACAGGTTACTGGCCCTCTCCTTGCCCCGGTTCAGCTGTGTACTTGCCAAGGCAAGTCCTCATGTCACAGAATTAAGGACAGGATCCTCTAATGCTTATAGAATCGTTATGGCAGGGAGCCTTGTGCACGATCACAGTGTCAGTGTCATGAGAACTTGTTATGATCTAGGTCCAGTAAACACCTCCACCAGGTACCTAGAGGGGACAGCTGGAAAAGCTGTCACATCTCTGCCCTTACCACTCTTTTTTGACAGAGCATATGGGGCTGGCTTCTTTCTCTCTCTCTACACACATTGCTCATTCTCTTTCTTTTTTTTTTTTTTCTTTTGGTACTGGGGTTTGAGCTCAGGGTTCATGCTTGATAGGCAGGAATTCTACCACTTGAGCCACTCCGCCAGCCCTACACACGTTTCTGAGTCCTCTTCTGAAGAGGCTCCAGGCATTGCCAAACCAACCATAAGATGGAAAGGTGGTGGGATGATATTGAGGTGGCAAAAACTTAAGAAGTGTCTGTCTACCAGCAAAGTCTCTGGTGGTGTCCCTGACTTGGAGCCTGGGCCTCTGTGGAGTACCTTAGCTTGGGATTCAGGTGCCACTCTACCGCACTGGTACAGAGCTCTTATGTAGTGCCGAGACACAGTGAGCTCATCGCACTTGTGAGTAGAGAGCCGGCTTCCATTTCCCTGCTTGGTGACTGATGTAGAACAGTCTACCATAAAACAGGCCACTCCAACGCCACCATTCACAGACCAAAAAGATGTGCCTGTCAGCCTGTCATCCCTGCTACACAGGAGATGTAGATAAGTCTGAGGCTGGCATGGGCAAAAACGTGAGATCCTATCTGAAAACTATAGAAAATGGGCAGAAGGTGTGGCTCAAGTAATAGAGCACCTGCCTTGAAAACATGAGGTCCTGATTAAAACCCCAGTACTACCCCAACCCCACCCCCAAAAAAGTGGAGGGACAGCCATACTTGGTCTCAGGGGCTGAAAATAGTTTGAGACCCTCTGACCTTTGGATCCACAGATTGCATTTTCATGATTGTGTTTTTCTTCTTCCTCTGTTCCACTGTTTAGAACACAAACCTGACCCCTCAGGAGCATGAGAACATCATTGTGGTAAGTTCCTCTCAGTCCCTGCACCCCTACCTACCATCCAAACCCACCCTGTCCTGGTCTAAGATACTTCTCGAAGCCCCAGCATATTCCACAGCCCCGGTCCTTGCTTGGTTCTGTCTTTCCTACGAAGCCCAAGCTGACTGTGTGTAAGGGTGATTATTTGGGGTTCCTGGCAAATGCGCCTGACTTACTGGCTCCTTATTGAGTCTGCTCAGGGAGGCAGAGGCAGGACTTGGCAAGACTGGATCATTTATTCACAGCCTTCACCCTGTTAGCTGAAGGTAAATGGCTCTTTCCTGCCTCGGGACATGTCTCCGCATTAATCCTCAAATAGAACTTGATATTTAAAGTGAGATGATATTCTCTCTGACTTAATGATGATAAACACACCTTTGGGGCAAAATATCTTCCTGGGCGATTTTAACCATGCAATGTGACTCTCACTAGGGAAGAGGAAGAAATGAAATTGCCCCTACTTTGTGCAAGTCCTGCACTGTGTTTGAATCCACAGATGACTGATACGACCCACATGGAGTTCACCATCTGTCGTAGGAAGACAAATGTGATCACTGCAAAATAGAAGCAGAAGCAGGCAGTAATAGAGACGGGAATGATATCTGGGAAATCTGGGAAAGGAACCAGAAAGTTTCCTGGAGGCAGTGACATCTGAACTGGGTTTTGAAGGATCAGTTAGGAGTTGCCAGGTGACAAAACTGGGTAAAGGCATCCTGGAAAGAAGAAGCAGAATACAAGAGTACAGAGGATTAAAGCAACATGGCATATTCTGGAAGCTTTAGCATTGCTACAGTATAGAGCATAAGAAAAGGGAAGCTGGGAGACAGAACTAGAAATGGAAGCTAGAGGAGAGAGAGAAGCTGGAGCAAACCTGCCCTGAAGGTCCCGCAGCTGCAGCCTGTCGGACAGGAGCTCTGTGCCCCTCAGGCTCTTCCCACCTGAATCAGGGTTCTAGGACCCACCCCTCTGCCCTGGGTAGCCCAGCTGAGTGCTGTAAGCTCAGAAGTAGATGAGCTCTGGGCCTGCATCACAGGTGGCAGAGGTGACAGCACCTCTTCCCCCCAACCCAGTGCATGAAGCAGGTACTCAGTGGATATTGGCCAAAATTCCTACACCCCACTGTGAACACCTGTGTCTTCTCTTGCCAGAACAGGGAAACCTGGGCACCCCAGTCACCCTCCAGCCCCTTCTCTGAAGTCCTGTCAATGAATCGTTCATGTGACCCACATTTGTTGAGCGGGGAGCATGAGTGTTCAGCACTCCAGCTCTGTCCTGCAGACCGGGGCCCTGGCAGGTCATCTCAGAATTAGAAACCGTCCTGGTTGAGGGTCAAGGTTTCTTCTGGGTGTTCGGGGAGCACAGAGGAGAGGCATTTAACTTAACTTCCTCTGTTAGGGGGTGCCGAAAGGAGATAACAGAGTTAGGGGGTTCCAGGAGGAGGTGAATGAGCCATCTTACAGGATGGATGAGACTGTCATTTGTAGGGAAAGGCAGTCCAGCCAGGGGACCAGCAGGTGTGCAGCCAGGAGGAGCAGGAGAGCATGGAAGAGGGTCTCCCTCTCTCTTGTGGGTCCTGCTGAACTCCACAGCCCAGAGGGAAGGAAGAGCCTTCACACCCCAAAGGATCTTGGGAAAGAAATTTGTTCTGGGAAACCCAGGCAATTACTCAGCAACTATGCTGAGCTGAGCCCTTAATAGGGTCAAGCTTAGTGTCCACACCCAGCAGAGAGGCCTGGAGCTGAGAAGAATCAATCTGAGCCTTGACATTCCACCCCCCCATCCTACAGCCTCACCTCCTTGTCCTCTCATTACCATGGCAGCACCGTCATTAAGTCTCTCCAACCTCCTTCCATTCCAACAATTGCATTATCATAGCTGACCTATTAGCAATTGATCTTCCCCTGATAACGCTTGGTAATTTTTTTGTATGTACTTGTTTTTACATCAGGTGTAAAAGCAAACTTGAGGTGGTTTTCTTCATTCCCTTGGCCAGGCCCCCAGGCAATAGAAACTATCAGTGGGTAGTAGATAGCCAGGGTGTCACTAAGGGGCATAGGCCTGGTACCCAAACCCCATTCATTGTCCCACTCACTGGGCCGTGGGTTGGGGGCCAGGGGACGCTCAGCATGGCAGTGAAGAATTTGGGCTTATGCTAAACATGGGTTCAAGTTCAGAGCTGTGTTCAGACCTAGCTGTGACCTTAGGCATTTAACAGAAGAACTTTTTATTGTTTTTATTGAAAATATGGTCTTCCCTCAGCACCATGGGGAATTGATTCTTCAGGGGAAGATAACAAAATCCGCTATTGCCCAAGTCCCACATGCAAAATGCACGAAATACACACATCCTCCTGCAGCCTCTAGATTACATGCAATATCTAGCGGTGTAACTGAAAGTAGCTGTTGTGCTTTACTGTTAGGAATAATAACAAGAAAATAGCTGTGCCTGTACAGGTTCAGTAGACACAACTGCTTCTTCATCTGTGGCTTGCAACACTGTATTGAACAGTGGCAAAGGAGCCGGATGGAGCCTGATCTCGGCTGTTTGTCAGCCTGGTGTTGGTGCCCACCAGGAGACAGGACCTCCTCGAGGTGGCTTCATTTTTCCCCGGCACACCCACCAGATCATACCAAATCAGCCAGCACATCCCTGGTTGATTTTTCTCTTATACTGTCCTTACCCTCGTGGCCCCTGAAGCCAGTAAAACCATGATTCCTATTATACGGCAAGCCGAAGGAGACTCGCTAAGCTACTCGCTCAAGGATCAGTGGCCGTGCCACCCTTCCTCACTGAGATACGGTGTGTCTGCAGACAGTTTGGGTTGTCACAGCTGGGGTGGGGGTGGGGTGTGACACACAGGTCAAAGCCAAGGATGCTATGCAGCCTGCTGCAGTGCACAGGATAGGCACACCACAGAGCATCAGCAATGAGGGCTGTGGAATCCTGCTTCCACGTGTCGCCACATCTGGCCCCACGTCCCAGAATGAAAGTTGAGGATTATGCGAGATGAAACTACTGGTGCAATGGCCGCAGTGCTAGTAACCAGCAAGATCAGGGTTTGCACTCAGGACTCTGCTTAGTCTATAGGACACTCTCAGTGCCTGCTGGGGATTGGGTTCTGGGACTGTCCCATGGTACCAAAATCTGAGGGTGCTCAAGTACCTTACATAAAATGGCCTGCTGCTTACCCAAAACAATACCCTGCCCCTTAGTCAGAGGCTGTTGCTCTGAAGGGGACATGGACGGATGCTAGTTGGGCCTGGAAGTTGTGTACATCACTGTGAGTGTTGCCGGGAGCTCTCATTAGCTCTGGGAGCCCTTGGGTACAGGTTACAAAGGGGGTTTTTTTCTGCCCAGACAACGGCAGATGGCTGTTTTCATTGCAAGTCATTTTCTCACACGCCCCATGCCCCTCCCCACGTGGCCCTATCACAGTTCCTTTTGATTGATGACTGCCTGTTGCCTTTCAGGCCATTGCTCCTTTGCTGGAAAACAACCACCCACCACCAGATCTCTGTGAATTCTTTTGCAAGGTATGGTGTTGCTGTAGTGGGGTAGTGGCTGCAGGAGGCAGCACACTGCTGAGCACACACTGGGGGCAGGGGTTGGGGGTGGGGCTTACACAACCAGGCTAAACCCCAGGCCCACCAGCCTGGGTGTGAGTCCCAGACCCAGAAAGACAGCCTGCAGGCAGCTGCTCTTAGAGTCACTGCCCCTTTTCTGCCAGAAAGGTGTGAGTAAGAGCAGGCTTCTAACCCAGGGGTCTGGGAGGAGCATAAGGCTTTTCTTTAGAATATTCCTGGCTGTCTTGGGAGGCAGTTTGCAGCTGATTTTCTGGGCTCCTGACGTCAGAGCTGGGTTATTCTTAGCTGAGGCTCCTCTGAAAACCGGCTGGCCCACAGCGGGGGCCAGCCACGGGGCTTTCCCTGGATAAGGAAGCTGGCCGAGTGTGCCAGGTCAGCTTGAAGGAGCCACATAGCAGGGTCTCGTGCCCAGGGACCCAGCGCCAGCCTCACGACAGGATTCACACAGTACATACCCTGTCATGCCAGGGCCAGGTGTCCCTCCTTCCCAGAGCACAGCTGGGCAGCCTAAGGGCCGGACCAGCAACAGATCTGTTTGTGCTTTGCTGTGGGATTGTTTTGGGTAATAACTTGATGTCCTTGGAAAGCATGAGGCCTGATGTGACCACTCCCCAGCACTCAGCACTCCAGGTGCTACTCCTGCTAGTTCATTTCCCTTGTCTTCGTCCCCTCCTGGGTTCCCTGGGCATCTGGGTATGGGACCCCTGTCCCTGTCTATAGCTACACGCTCTGCTGCCCCTTGGGGAGATGCCATGTCTACTGTGATGCAGAAGAACAGGTGTGTATGGGGCGGCGGGGGATAGGGTGCACCTGTCTCCAGTCCCAGAGTGCTCTGTGTGTTGTGTGCCAGAAGGGAGCTTGAAAGGGAGACAGAACTGCAACATCCTCTTCAGCACTGCCTCTCTACCAGGAGACACACACCTGCTGGCCCAAAGTGCTCAGGGCTCATTTCAGGACCCTATCCCCTTCTTCATGTGGGTGGCCACAGTACACCCTCTGGTCCCAGGGGTGAGCAGTCACTGGGTGTGTGTGTGTGTGTGTGTGTGTGTGTATATACACACACGTGGCAGGATCCACACAGAACTTGCATCTATCTCTGTGTTCCAGGATTAGGCTCCTGAGAGATTAGCCAGCTGCCTCCCTATCTGTCACAGCAGGTCACCTCTCCCCGTGGTCTGTCTAATTTAATCCAGATGTGCGCTATATCCCCTTCTCAAGTTCATAGCTTCTCCCCAGTTTGGTTTCCAAAATATTTGCTAGAACAATGGAACTTTGTTCAAAATAAACCTTCCCTGAGGGTTCTTGGTAACACGGTTTATAAAAGGGTGAAGCAGAAGAAATTGACCTTTGGGCATTCCCTGCTAGAACCTGATAGGTGCCAAAATGCACAGGGAAGAGGGCCGATCTAGGGCAATGGCCTTGAGACTGTCTTCCGTCATGAGTCGGAGCCCAGGGAGGGGCAGTTCACGGGAACAAATCCCTCCCACCCCAGGACCACTCTCAGCAGCTCTCTGAATTTGCCAGGCCCTTCCTGCCAGATTTCCAGGCCTGGAGCCTCAAGATCTGAGTAAAGTTTATTCTCTTGATTTTCTGGAAAAGCCCTCGTTTCTCATATCCCAGGTCCGTTGTCCTCATCCAGGGCTTCTGAACTCAGCACCTTCAGGCGCCAAGAGTCCGATAAATGTGTGCAAGACAGTTGGGCATGATGACGCACACTTGTAACTCCAGCATTCAGATGATAGAGGCAGGAGGATCATGAGTTTGAAGCCAGTCTGAGCTACATAGTGAGACCTTGTCGCTGAAAAAAGAGAAAGAAATGAGCCATCGAGCCATGAAAAGACCGAGAGGAACCTCTAATAAATGTTACTAAGTAAAAGAAACCAAACTGAAAAAGCTGCATACTGTCACATTTTAACTGTAGGTTTAGCATCCCTAGTCCTCAAATCAGAAATGCCCCGAAATCTAAAACTTTTTGAGCTCTGACATGGCACCACAAGTGGAAAATTCCATACCTGACAGGTTCTAGGCAAAACATAGGTACACTAAAAATATTATATAAAACTATTCAGACTCAGTGTAAAATATGTAAAATGCAAATGAAACTCATGTTTAGGCCTGGGTCCCGTCCCCAAGGTATCTCATGTATATGCAAACATTCCAGAATCCGAAATGCTTCTGGTCAGGGATGCTCAGCCTCTGTATGCCTTTCTGAGAAAAGCAAGATGAAACAGCATAGGGACCAGGGTTGTCCCTTTAGGGACGGGGAGGAGCACTGGCAGAGCACAGGAATTTGGAGGCAGTAAGCTACTAAAGTGAGGAACAAATGTTGTTACACATTATCCAGACCCACAGAACAGCCACAGCCAAGGGTGGCCCTGGTGCAGACTACAGACTGAGGGAGGCAGTGACTTGCCAGCGTAGGTCCATCGCCTTTTCAAGTGCACCACCATGCAGTGGGATGTTGACAGTGGGAGAAGCTGTGCACCTGTGGGGACAGGGTACATATGGAGCATCAGTATTCTGTGCAATTTTGCTGCAAACCTAAACTGTTCTAAAAGAGTCCTTCAAAAAAAGTAACCTATGCATTGGTAGTCAGCAAGGACAGCCCCACACACCACTGGCCTCACTGACTGCACCCGTTTCTCCCCAGCACTGCAGAGAGCGGCCCCGGTCCATGGTGGTCATTGAGGTGTTCACCCCTGTGGTCCAGAGGATCCTCAAACATAACATGGTGAGTGCCCCAATACCCAGACCATGCATTGGGAGTGGGGGGTGGGCTAGACTGGTGGCCGCATGCCCAGCTGTGCTTTGCCTCAGTTTGAGGGTGGGCTGGCCAGTGGATTCTGTGTAAGGAGTTGGGGGCTTGGTACAGCCTGATCTTGACTGTATTTTTTCTATTAAGGCAGTAGGAAGAATCTTGTCATTGTAGGTAAAAATAACAAATACTGTGGCTGGAGGACATGTCTCTTACGCAGAGGAGTCCCCAGCAAGGCTTTAGGTGTACCCCCTCCAGGACATGGAGCAGGACCCCTTGCTCCTTAAGTGTGGGCTCTGTGCACGGATTTCCTTCCAAAGAACACAGAGTTGAAGAGAGAGTAACTTTATGGTGGGGGAACCTGAACCTGGCAGACACGGTCTCAGCTGGGTGGTCAAGGTCAAATTAACAGTAATGAGTTGCTTTGAAGGTATGGACCTTGACGTAAGTGATGAAAATGACACTGGGCCCTCCTTCCAATACCCATCACCCCAGTCCAAGCATGAGGAAAAAAACATCACGTGGATCCCAGCTGAGGGACAGTCTCTTAAGGACTGGGGCGTGGCTCAAAAGACCCTGAGTTCAATCCTAAGAACCAACCCCCCTCAAAAAAAAAAAGAGAAAAGAAGAAAAAGAAAGAAATTTCAAAACTGTCAAGGGCATCAAACCAAAGGAAGGCTGAGAAACCAGCATAGCCTAGGGGAGCTTAATTCTCATGACAAGTAGATTTCACATAGAATAGAAGAAGGACACTAAGGGAAAATAATGGAAATCTGAAGAGTGGTTTTGTTTTTTTTTTTACAAATACAAAGGCAGAATTGAGTTGTCCACTTGCAGGAATGGGCAGTTGTCATCTCTGTGGCTGTTCCGTCTTCTTTCCACTGAGAGCCACACAAGTCATTATTTTCTCAGTGCTGCTTGTGGGAACTGAGGTTTAATTTAGTGAGCAAGGTCCACTGACTGGCCACTAAGAGTAACTAACAAGTGTCACAGAAACTTACAGTGTGCCTTCCTGGAGCCAGACAGAGCACGGTGCTCCTTAAGCATATGATGCTACTAACTTCGTGGCAGCCCCGTGACATTGTGTGCACAGGACTTTCTGGGACCCAGAAAGGCTGGACAGGGCCCCCCAGGCCTGAGTGAGTGTGCATGAGGGAGATACAGGCCAGGTGTCTGAGGCTGTCACCTGCATGAGTTCAGCTTGGACTTTGAAGTCACCTGGGCTATGGAAACTCCTCTGAAAAAGAGCAGCCTGGAAAGATACGTCATTTGCCTCTACACCATGCTTCTGGACGGCATGAATAACATGCCCCTTCCGTAGTCAGAAATGAAAGTGGTTGACGCCTGTTCTCCTCCCCTTCCCGCACTTGTGACAGGCATCATTCACGGATTGCAGTGCTCCTCCTGCAGAGCTGGCGGTAGCTTCAGACCCTTTCCTCACAGAGTTCTAGGCAACCATAGCAACCGATCCATGCTGGTACCATAACAAATTCTGTTTACCATTTTCTACCCCAAGTGATTGCAAGCTGTATTACTGAGACTCACTTAGATTTGGGGTAAATTTATTTTTTGTTTTCTGAACACAGGAGAGACACCCCATGCACTTCTTCCTCAAGAACAAGGAAACTTCTCGGGTAGGGAGAATGATTTTTGCTTTAATACAGCTCTGATAGTTTCAGGAAGGGCATTGTCTGGCATTGGCCAGCTGGAGGGGAAGGGTCTCTCCTTTTTGGCTTGAAAATCACTGGTGGGTATGTGAGCTGGGCCCTTTTAAAGGCCAGGGCAAAGGTCCTAGGGTTTTCTTGAGAAGGACTTGAACTTATCAAAGAGCCCCACTGCCAGAGGAACTCAGCCAAGGCAGTGCCTCCTCAGGTACATATGCAGTTTTGCATATTCCTTGGTAGTCAGTAAACCGTTTCCTAAGAGTTCTTTGGAAATGTCTTACTTCAGAGGGAAGAAGTCAACATCCCAATAGCCGTCCAGGACTTGCTTCTCCATACAGCGTCTCCTTTGCATTAGGTTAGTATCACAGGCCTGGAGTAGTTACGATGTGATAATTTCATGGATAGAAGAGCTCTAGGGCAAAATCCAGAATTTACAGTGTCTGGGGTCCTGGCCACAGGCTGTGTCCCTACTTCACCTTTAAGGAGTACCCCGAGAGATCCCAGGCGTTGGGAGTGATCCCTCTTTGCTCTTGACTAGTTACAACCATTAACAGGGTCTGGAGAGGGCTGCAGACAGAGCGTGGAGGACTAGTCGCTCGTGGGAAGAGCAGGCCTCATACAGTGGGAGCTGTGGCTTGGCTGGGCATGGGAGGAGGCAGTCTCACAGGATCCTAGCAGCACAGCAGTGTGGGGATGGAGAATGCAGGATTTTGACATTGGTTCATGTGACAGTGTCTTCATGCCCAGCAGCGTGACTGGATGTACCATTTTGGGGCTACTGCTGTCAACTGGTGTGGAGGCCTAGTCTCTGGCCAGAGAGTGTGCCTAGCCTGTCGCCAGCCCTGTGCCTCTCACATAGCACAGTGACTTCACTCCTAATGTGTGAGGGCCTCGTTGAGAGGCCCTTGAACACTTGGGAGATGGGGGAGTCACACACACGTGGGGACCTGGAATTCCAGGATCCCCCTGTTCTGAGGGCATCACTGCCAGATATATCACGTGCAGCTTTCATGGGTGAACCAACTGGTGCCTACAGAGTCTGTGTTCATCAGTAGGCCGACATAAAAATCAGACACCAGAAGAGAGTCTTTGCATGTGTCACCCGTTGGCTGAATTGTAGCCCAAGAATGACCACAAGTCCTTGTGCCCACGTGCTACTCACTAGTGTTCTTGGGCAAAGGAAGTAAGAAGATGTGTCTGTGGCCTTAGTGGACCACTGCGTCATCTGATTTCTGACCTTACAAGGGACAAGTGTCAATATGGCAAGGTCTCCAGATCCTCTGTCATTATTTCCAGTGAAATGACTTGACTATCCAGACGCTCATATCAAGGCTAATGACAACTGCCTTTACCAGGTCTCAGTGTGAGCAGTTCCCAGAGAATCATAAAACCCTAGAGATGGAAGGAGCTAGAGGTGAATTCTCTAAACTTCATTCAGCAGGAGGGACCCTGGGGCCCAGGGAGGGGCTTGGCAGCCTGTGGCCACCAGCTTTCCCATCACCCCTTTTCCAGAAAGCTAGATGACTGTGGGCATCTCCCTCAGTGTGAAAGCAAGATAAAGCACCAACTAGGACTGGCAGAACGGCTCAAGTGGTAGAGTACATGCCTAGCAAGTGTGAGGTCCTGAGTTAAAAAAAAAAGGGCACCTCCCAGTCTTTCCTTCCCTTCCTGTGGGGCCTCATTCTCTAGCCCAGTACTTATACTGTGTGTGTGTGTGTGTGTGTGTGTGTGTGTGTGTGTGTGTGCAGTGTGCTCAGGTCTGCACACATGTCTGTACGCACAGACATGCTTGGTCCTCTGAACTTTCTCCCTGGGTTCTGCACCCTCTGTGGAAGCAAGCAATCGTGTGCAGTGTAAATGAATACTGTCCTCGTGCCCTGAGGCCCCATTTCAGTCCTTTGACTCAAGAAGCAGCGGCAGGCAGCTCAGAGAGTCCTCTTGGGAGTTGGCAGGAGGGTGTGGATGGACCGATGCGGCCAGCTGGAGTTGGGGAGGCCTGTCAGAAAGTCTCTTAGACTTCTGTTCTACAGGCAGGACCCCGGTTCTGGTTGCTTTTTTATTTTGAGCCAGTACTGGGGGTTGAATTTGGAATTTTGCATGTGCCTGGCAAGCAGTTTTTGCATGTGTTCTGCCACTGAGCTGTGCCCCAGCCTGCAGGTTGATTTTTTTTTTAATGGGTTTCACTGAGAAGGGCACAGAGGGTGGCTTTGGGAGATACCAGTATGCCCATGGTTTTATTGGTTGACCACACCCTTTTTCCTGATTAGGGCAAGGTCACGCCCAGATTTTGCCCTGGCTACATAGGTGCCACATAAGGCCAGTGCCTGGCCTCTCTGGCACCCGGCCCTAACCATGGTGTGTGGGTGTGAGCACAGGTGGATGAATCTGAAGGCCCCTCTCTCTGCCTTTGTCTGCAAAAGCCAAGCCTAGCCACCAGCCCCCTCAGGCCAGCCACAGGCAGGCACCGTGCTCTGGTACCTCCGCAGCCTGCCTGCTGACGTGACGCACTGAGGAAGCTGAGAAGACGTCAGCCTCCAATTACATCACTCAGCTGGAGCGGGAGGGATCCTTTGTCCTTGGTCAGAGCCCCTTATTTCAGCGTTGGCTGTGGCTGGGCTCTAGATGCAGCCTCCCCTCCCAGCACCCCTCCCAGCACCGTCTTCTCTAACGCTGTGCAGACCAGCCCTTCCCACCGAGGTAGTGCGCCCTTCTTGCTCCCCTCCAGGGAATGACGTGGTCACATGCAGCCCCTCCCTCCACACCGCCTTCCTTAGGACCTCCACACCCCCGCACACACTCTTCCTTCCTCTACACCCGCCCCTCACACCCCTTCTTTCACATCCCACCCTTATTTGTCCAGCCATCCTGGCACACTCACTTGCTCTCCCTCCCTCCCACCTGCCCCTCCCCCTTTTGCAGTAGGTACTAAGGTTTGAACCTTCCTTGCTAGGCAGGTGCTCCCCCATTTCAGCCATGCCCCCAGCCCTCCAGCCATCCTTTCTTGATCTTCTCTGTCTTCTTTGTCTTTTTTGTGTCCCATGTGCCTTTTTATTTTTTGAGACAGTACTGACTAACTAGCCCAAGCTGGCCTGGAACTCACAATCCTGCTTCAGCCTCCCAGGTGCTGGAGGCACCACTTGGGCTCTGCGCGTGCCTTTTGAGGGTTACTTTTTGTCGTGCCAACAGCACCTGGTCATCAGACTCTCCTTCAGTTTAGTTTATAGCCCTGGTGGCAGCCCAGGTCTGCCTGACATGGGAGGATCCCCTGAGCACATCCTACCTTTAGGCCAGCCTGGCTCATGGGCCACCTGTCATTCCTTCACTCAGGAGGACAAACAGGCATCTCTTTACTGCCACCACACCTAGAGGACACAAGAAGCTAAGATTGGCCAGGGCTGCCTTTGCTTCTGTACTCCCAGTATTCCCTTCAAGTTGATGACCCCACGTGGGACTCTGATTGAGGTCGTAGACAGTAGCTCACAGGAAGCAGGGACCAGAAGCTCCCACGTAGCTACATAAGTTTCCAGCTTGCCTGGAGTGGTTGGAGGCTGGGCTGGACATGAGCCAGTCTGTGTGGTGACTGGCCTCCATCCTCCCACAATTGCTGTGGATCTGGCATCAGGACATTTTGAATGTCTGAATGTCAGGGGTCACTACAGGTGTGGACAAGGGTGTGGCTGGGCCACTCGTGAGAGTCAAAACCTTCCAGGGCTTCATCATGGCCAGTGTCTCCCTGCCTCTGCACTCAGGCTCTGGGCTGGGGCAACTGGTCCCCCTTGGGCCCTCAGCTGCCCCAGCCCCAGCTGGTTGTGCCTCTCAGCTCCCGGCCCCTGCTTTCTCCACAGGACTTTGGGAAGTGCCCGCGACTGAGGCTGTTCACTCAGGAGTACATCCTCGCCTTGAACGAGCTCAATGCAGGGATGGAAGTGGTGAAGAAGTTCATTCAGAGGTATGTCTCCTTCTGGACCCCTCCCTGCCCTGGCCTTGAGCCAGCTTCCCCTCCATCCCAGACCACCTGCTCGGTGGTGCCCAGGGAGGAGCTGGGGTGCCGTTCAGAGACCCTGCAGTAACATCTACAAGGTGCTTCCTGGATCCTCCCAACCATGTGTGGTCTGAGCTGCTTTCTTGCTGTGTGACACTGAGGTAGTCACTGTACCTCTCTGATCCTCTTTTCTCAGGTGTCCCTGAGGGGCTGTTGTGCTAGTAAATGAGATAATACATGAGGAAGCTCCAAATACTGCATGGTCTAGTGGAACTTGGGAAATGGTAGTGGTCATAAGTAAATGCTAGTGTCTCTATTCGGCCTCAGCCATGGTGCTGTGGGTGCTGGGTGTTTGGGAAAGGATTCTGCCCAGGGTCCTGAGAGTCATGCTCGGGAGTGGGAACAGCCCCTTCCCAACCTTAGCAGGAGGCAGCCCCATCCCCTCGCCGTCTGGAGGTTGGTTTCTTTTGAAATTTCCTCTCTGGGCTTCAGTTTCCTCATGTAGAAGATGAGGACCCCGGCACCCACTCCCTCTAGGCAGTGTGCGATTCCGGGGAGCCGGTACAGGAGTGTGAGCTGACGACTGGCTGCCTCACTACCTCCTCTTGTATTTTAAGAACGATGGAGCAACCTGGTTATGCCAGCTCTGAAGCTGTGGGTTTCTGAAGTGTGCCCACCTAACACTTAGTGCATTTCTAAACCTAGGCGCTGTGCCCTTTGCCAGAGCCTGGTGACATCAGGGGTCCTCCCAGACCTACAGCAAATCCATTTTACAGATGAGAAAACTGAGGCACCATGACAAATGACAATAGGTGGCACTGAGGACTTAGCTGAGGTGACCAGAATAATTTTTCTTACAAATGCATACTTCTAAGAATAGTATACAGTCTTGTAGATGGTCATGCCAGAGCCACCAGGTACAAATGTGACCATCCTGGGACATGGGAAATCCTCGGTGCCATTATTGTGGAGGGTATTGTCCCCTTCAAAACTGGATTCCACCCAGGTGCCGCTATTTGCCACCCACAGCCTAGAATCTGACAAGAGCCTCAGCCAGGACCCCAGCCTTGGTGTCACTGGCTGCACTGCAGGTTCTCAAGACCCCTGTGCTGTGCTGGCAGAACACTGCGTATCACACAGCCCCTGTGCACAGGGGCCCCCACCCCACCCACCCCTGTGCACAGCCCTCCAGCCTCCTCACCATGCTCTACTCTCTTCCAGCATGCACGGCCCCACGGGGCACTGTCCCCACCCCCGGGTCCTGCCCAACCTGGTGGCTGTGTGCCTAGCCGCCATCTACTCCTGCTACGAAGAATTCATCAACAGGTCAGCACTGCTGGGTGGGGCGCCACCCGTCGTGGGCACACGTCACCGGGAGGGTAGACAGGCCTGGGAAGTAGAGTTGCTTGGGCTGTTCTTGTGGCATTTGCCCAGAGCTCTGGGCCCATGGCACAGGGGCCAGCCTCATGGTGTTGCTGAGAAAGCCACACTGGATCAGCACTGGCAGCTACAGGGCTGTGTCGCACTAGGCTGCAGGAACCAGTGTTGTGCTGAGGGCTGCCCACTGCGGGGTAGGTGACACACTGAGGGTGTGGGGACATGGGCACAGGACGGTGGCGTAGGAGCACGGACGTGGTGTATGGCCTGCGGGAGTTTTCCAAGCTCTGCTGCATGCAGGCGCAGCTGGGGATGGAGCACGTGGGGACGCATATACTATAGGGGAAGCTGCCGAGCAGTTCCTGTGCAGGAGCGTGAGATGTGGGGGGAGGCTGTGCTCTCGGTGCGGTGGAACAGTGAGGTAGCAGTGCCTAGAAGAGGTCGTGGTGGGGCCACAACCTGAGAACGGTCCCCCAAGAGCAAACTCGAAGCCCAGGACTTGGGTGGAAGCAGCTGACTCAGCAATCGTCCCAGGAAACACTGAGGCCAGCCAGTGATGTCGAGTTCCTCAGCAGGTGACCACTGTGGGCTGCTGACATTCAGTCACCCTCCCAGGGGAGTACACTAGGGCGCTTATTCACCAGGTTCCACTCCTCAGTGCACTGGTTGAGGCTGCTCCTGGGCTGCAGAGGGGTGTTCTCAAGGAATTTTCTGCAGTGACCTCTGGAATCATTGGAGGGATGTGTAACATGCCAGCCACAGTGGTGTAGTACACTGCACAACTCCAAGGAGACCATGCTGTCCAGGCACTGCAAGAACTGAGAGTGCAGCAGACATAAGACAAAGACACAAACACACAGACGCACACAGATGTAAATAATAGAGATACAGGTACAGACACACAAACACAGACATACAGATGTGCAGATACACACACACGTGCACAGACCCAACCAGCTCCTGGTCTCAGAGGCCTCTGGCTCATCCAGCCTCCCAGGGCTGCTCTAGACACCTGCTCTGGGCAGGGTGGGTAGGAATGGAGCAGGAAGTGGCATGTCCCAGAGCTTTCCGTCTGTGTCCCCAAGGCCCTGTGTGGGTTCCCTGGAGCAGGGCTTCCACACTAGGAAGCTGTCCTAGTCCCCCGCCCCACCAGGAGATGGTCAGAACTTGGAACACTCATTGCTGATCACGCAGAAGCAGCCATGCTGGCCTTCTCCTGCCATTTTTAACTCAGCACTTATGATCTAGGCCCAATGTGCCCCATGCTGGCCACCCAACAGTGAAGCAGAACACAGCATCTGCCCTTTGGGGGTGGGGGAGGGGGAGTACAGCTGGGAACACAGCTGCGCACGCAGTCCCAGTGCAGCTGGATCAGAGTAAGGACTGAGGGAGCCGGAGGCATGCTGATGCGTTCTGGCAGGGGGTCCCCATCACCCAGGAAGGTTTCAGAAGATTGAGAGCCCCGCTGGACCCGTGACCCAGCTCATCCGCTTTTGTGTATCTTTTGGTCTATTCTCATAAACATATATGTGAATGTTTACAGCAGCATTATTTTTAATAGCCCCAAACTAAAACCTTCCTCGAGTCATGTGTCCCATGACAGCAGAACAGATGAATAAATAAACTCTACGAACACAACACAAGACATGTATTTAGCAGCAAGCATGAAGGACCCAGCACAGCAAGCCAGCCAGGTGTGAGCTAAGACGTCGTATTGAGCAAAAATGCCAACCCCAAACAGTAACGTTCTGTGTGGATTTTTTTCTTTTACAAGAGGCTCAAGACTAGGCAAAAACTGTGACAACAGAGGTCAGAGCAGTGGCCACCTCCGAGGTGGGGCTGTGGGGCCAGGGCCTGGAGAACTGCTGGGTTCCTGGAGGTATTTGGTAAACCAGTGGTTCTCACCTGGGGCAGTTTTCCTCCCATGGGGTGTCTGGCAGTGTCCACACTGTGCTGGTTGCAACAAAAGGCTCCTGGCATCTACTGGGTAGAAGTTTGGGACACTGCCATCCATACTGCTATGAGCAGGACAGCCCTGCCACACAGAGCCGTCTGGCCCCAAGTGCCAGCAGAGCCGAGTTGCAGAGCCCTGCTCTGGATGGGCATCACTCTTGAGGAACATGGGAAAATTCACTCAGCACACTTTGCCTTCCCCCGTGCATGCTGTGCCCGAGGTGTGAGCTGTCCTACTTCCTGCTGTCTTGGGAGGCACGTCTCTTCCTGCCCTGCCATCAGTGGTGGATGTGGTTGATGGCACGCTGGCTCCTGGAGGCCAGTTGAAGTGGAAATATTTACACCAAGGAAACGAGCATCTCTGTCCTGGAGGCAGGTTTTAGGTGTTCCTTAGCATGCTGCAGGAGGATGCCAGGCCCCCTTCTGCCATTCTGATTTCATGGGCAACCCTGGCTTTGTTTGCTTTTGCTTTGACTCCCAAGGCCAGAGTTGAGAACTGTAGCTGGCACTTAAGAAGATCTTCTGGGAGGCCATATGGAAGGGGGTCGAGACTTCCTGGCAGTTAGCAATTGAGAGGCAGAGAGGGGGTGATCCAGTCAGAGAGAACTGCTTATGCAAAGGCCTGGAGGTGAGAGAGTTGCCAGTGTCACAATAGATTTCCATCTGTTGTCCCAGAATCACCTGGACTGCCACTTTAAAATGCATAATCCTAAGAGCCAGCACTCAGGAGGCTGAGGCACGAGGATCTTGAGTTCGAGGCCAGCCTGGGCTACGTAGTGACCCTGTCTCAACAAAACAAAAACAAAAAAACCAGAATCCTGACACAGCATTGCTGGACTAGGGACCCAGGAATTTGCATCCTTTATTGTGCAGGTGATTCTGTACCCACGGAAGGTGGAGCACCTGTGCAGGGAGAAGCAACAGGAAATTAGTGTGCCTGGGGCAGAGGAGGGAGGCAGAAGGTGGAGTTGTAGGGGGAGGCAGGCCCAGGTGTGGGGAGACCGGCAGAGTGCACCTTCTCAGGCCTCCCATACCTCCTGAGCTCTCCTGGGGCTCCACCGGGTTCAAGTTCAGCAAGCTAGTCTGCGCCCAAGACTGCAGACTGACAGGCTGCTGTACGTGCCTGGGTTGGGAACCGCAACACTGTGTTTCAGTGGTGAAATATATAAACAGTGGGTTTAAGTAGAGGAGGAACACAAAGCCGTTTCCCTTCCAGCTGCTCCAGATGGACGATGGGCTGGAGGGGTACAGCCTTGGGGACTGTCAGATTGGAGGCACAGGAAGGGTGACATGGGTCCTGCCAGCTCTTGCCCAGTCAGGTCATAACTCCAGGCTTGGCACAGCCAAATCCCCTGGGAGTCCACAGGAGTTCAGATCCCAGCTGATGCTGTAACTTCCAGTTGTCATCCCAGAAGCCTGGTGCTGCCATGTTTCCCGGGCTCAGGTCCCTCATGGCCCATTGGTCAGTCCTGCCCAGATAAAGCACAGTGTCCTCGGAGCATCCACAGTGCTCTCTACAAGCACACAATGTACCCACATGCAGAACAGACAGCTTGACCCAGGTTAGTGTGGCTTTCTGGAAAATCACCGATCAGAGCCAAACAGCCTTGAAAATCTACTCCCAAATCCAGCAAAGGCAAACAGAGGGAAATGGAGTATGAGCGTTTGGGGAGCAAACGAGGTCTGAACTGAAGGAGCTGTTCAGGCCACCCCGCCCCCCAACAGACCACACACAGTTTTCCATCCTCCATAGAACTTATGGGCTGAGCCAATGGATTGTTTTCCCCAGCGAAGTTAAAAGTGTATTTATTAAACTCCCTTGGTGGGCTCAGCTCAGCCCTAGCTTGTAGCAGGTGTGAGATGGATTCAGACCCTCCCTGTGCATGAGCTCTGAGTTTTACACATGGCTCCCAGAGCTGCCACACAGAACACAGTGCATGGCCCAACTCTGCACCCCAGAGCATCTACTCTTTGGAGGTACAGTGCACATGTTGCATGTTTGGGAAGGGCCTGAATGAGCAGCTGTTTTTAATCACTCCATGGTGCTTGGAGCCATTTGGAGCCTAGGATCTCAACCTTGACCCTATATGGAATTGCTGCTGTCAGGCCTCACTCTAGAGATGCTGAGGTCATGGGCTCCAGGATGTTTGGAAGTGTCCTTGGGTCCTGATGTCCAGGGAGGATGCTGGTGGTAGGAAGAAATAAGAGGGAGCTCCTGGATCATGGGACCTGCATGGAGCCCTCAGGGATCCCAGAAGATAACCCTAGTGGAAGGAGCCAGAGTTGTGTAGTCAGATCCAGGTCCCTGGACTCATGAGCCACGGGATCAAGGGCAGGCCCCTGGGAGCATTTTTCTCACCTGTGGCTTAGAGCTGGTGACTGAGCCTGCGTAGCAGTACTGTCAGCATGGACACCATTATGCTGATCTGGGAGACCCCACAGCTCCTGCCACAGCCCGGCAGGATGCACCTGTGGGAGCTGGGTGTACTCGTAAGCACTCTGTGTGACAAGGAACTTTACCAGGTCAGGGCTCCAACAAGTCCTAATGTAAAGCAGCCTAATTTTACTGTTTGACCACATGTTTTCCAAACAAATGTGACATAGCACCCTATCCTCAGTTACCAGCCAGTGACAACCAGGGGAAGCATTGCTGCTCCTGGCATCTAGAGGGGTGAGGCAAGAGGGCCCACAGACTGGAATTGTGGGGTTTGGGAGCCATTGAGGTGGGCCCTGGGCTGATACTGCACTTTCTCACTTGGCTGGGGCTGGCCAGCAGTAGAGCAGGTCAGGGGGACATTATAGCATCAGGGTGGGAGGAGCAGCAGCATGGCCCCCTAGGCGTCACCAGTATATCAGGAAGGAAGCCAGGGAAGGCATCTCAGTGGAGGCAGTGCTACCAGCCTCGAGGCTGTCGTGGAGAGGTGAATATTCACTCATCGTTTAGCAGGTGTTTTCTGAGCATGCACTGTGTGTTGGGCTCCAGCAGAGAAGGGCAACCTAATATAGATGCCAGTCCACCTCTTCTGTGTGTGCAGGACACTGAGCAGCTAGAACCCAGGCTGAGCCTTGGTTTCCTCATCCCTGGAAGGGGGTGGGAGATGGCCTTGTGGAGAGGATGGAGATATGCGTCCCGAGCACTCATGAACTCTTGGCTCGAGGTTAGCGGGCTTTCTGATTGCCATGTCCCACTTCTGAGCCTACAGGGGTCCATGCTCACTGCCCTCTCCCCCTCTTTCCAGCCGCGACAATTCCCCCAGCCTGAAGGAGATCCGGAATGGCTGCCAGCAGCCATGCGACCGGAAGCCCACCTTACCTCTACGCCTGCTGCACCCCAGCCCGGACCTGGTGTCTCAGGAAGCCACACTGTCCGAGGCGCGGCTCAAGTCGGTGGTTGTGGCCTCCAGCGAGATCCACGTGGAGGTGGAGCGCACCAGCACTGCCAAGCCAGCGCTGACGGCCAGCGCGGGCAACGACAGCGAACCCAACCTCATTGACTGCCTCATGGTCAGCCCGGCGTGCAGCACCATGAGCATCGAGCTGGGCCCGCAGGCCGACCGCACGCTCGGCTGCTACGTGGAGATCCTCAAGCTGCTGTGAGTGCCCTTGAGTCTCCACCGGGGTGGGGGAGGCCTGCGCTGCACCGTGCGCGACTGTGTCTGTCTGGCCCATGAGGGAGTGGGCATGGTTGAGGCTGCCTGCATGTGAGTCTGCACTCTTAGAGTTGGGTGTGCAGAAGCAGCTGTGACTGTGGTGTGGGCATACAGGATGCACGCATGCAGTGTAAGTTCACACACAAGTGTGTGAGTGCACACAGTCTGTGCATACACGTGGGGTGTGCTCACGGCTCTGTGTGTACACGGGGCTTAAGGGACTGGGCATGTGTGTGGGGGCCTGCGCAAGCATTGTGTGTATACAGGTGTGCCTGAGTACATGGGTGCTGAAGTGTCTGTGAGTGTGGATACTCTGCACAGTCTGGTGTACACGTGGGTTCATTCAGAGCCCATGAGTGTCTTTGTGTGTCTTCATTGTATATGTGGCTGTGGGGATGTGGATACACGATGGTAAATGTGAGCCTGTGTGTGTGTTGAGTGTGTTTTGTGTATGTTAAGTGCACAAGCGTGTGTGGATCTAGATTTTGTGCATAAGCAACTGAGCATATGCACCACTTTTGTTCACAAAAGTCGGAGTGTGTGCACATGCATCTCTGTGTAAGTATGTGTGTGAGCCCGTGTCTTGTTTCCGTTTTGTGTAAATCATGCACAATTATTGTGTGGGGTGTGTGGCATTGCATGTGCATTGAGGGACCCACGTGTCTGTGGATGGTGGGTCACGTGTACAGTGGATGTGGAAGTCTGTTTGGGGATGTGGCTGTGTTTCTGCCCATGGACCTGGGTATCTGTGAAGTTGTGTGTGCACATTTGTGTTATGGGTGCATGTAGGAGCCTTGTGTTAAGGGGACCGTCTCTGGAAAATGGCCCTACTGGACCTTACCAAGGTCCAAGGTGCCCTCACCTTGTCCTGGACGAGTTCCAAACAGGCAAGGAGGCTCTGTGTAGGCCAGGCTGGTGGAAAAAGCTGGAAGGAGACATTTATGGTCTGCTTTTGGGCCTGTCCCTGCCCCAAGCCTCAGCTGAGTGATTCTAGAATTGGGGGATGCTCTTAACCCTCTTTCAAAATAGAGCTCTTCTCCCTCTCAGCATTACCCAGACCCAGGCATGCACCTCTCAGTACTTTCGCAGTGGCTGCTCGGCTTTCTGGGGGGTCTGGGCATGGCTGCATCATCCCTTCTAACTGTCAGCAGTGCTTATCTAAAGCCAAAGGCACTGAGAGGACCCTCACTGCTCTCAGGAGCCTGGTACTGGGGTGTTGTCAGTGTGGGTGGGGGCTCCTGAGACCCTGTACTGTTGCCACCTGTGTAGCATTTGCTCATCCTGTCATGGTCATGTTGCTGCCTGGTACGTGCTTAAGGTTCAGAGGACAGAGCTGAGTTTCCTGTGCCTTTCCAGCTAGGGAACAGAAATCTCCCTCAGGATGCCCTGCACTTACAGACAAGGACTGTGCAGTATGTGAAGGTGAACACAAAGACACACACATACGGTTGCACTGCCACCTCCTGCAGTTGAAGAAGACCCTGGGGGCTGTGGAGGAGTGGCTCAAGCAATAGAGTGCCTGCCTAGCAAGTATGAGGCCCTAAGTTCAAACCCCAGTGCTGCAAAAAAAAAAAAAAAAAAAAAAGACCCTGGAGGCAGAATCCCCAGACAGCTTCCTCTGCTCTTGCATTGGCCTCAGAGGGAAGGGAAGGGCCTACTGGGGTCAGTGCCATCCTCACCATTGTCCCTGCAGCAGAGGCCAGAGTAGGGCACAACCGTATTCAGCCACCCCGCAGCCAAGGGAAGGAAATTCCTAACTATTCAGAACTCAGCTTCAAGTTTCCCCAGGGAAGGGAGGTGGCAGGGGCCCGCCAGGCCAGAATTGGCCCTGTCCTCCACCGGCAGACTCAGGCTATTTACTGCCAGCGTGCTCAACCCTTCTTCCATCCTGATCCTGACTCACAATTCTCCCTGAGAGCTCAGGGTTTGAGTTTCATTACACAGTTGACACACGATTTTTCTTCTTCTTCATAAACACGCTCATGAATAAGGGCTCTGTTCTTCCTGCTTGGCATCCAGACCTTCTGCCTGCCTTTGAGCCCAGCTGTCAGGGCGTAGGTGATGGTCGAGGGGCTGACCAGGGCCTGGAACAGGCAAGCCAGGAGGGTTCCTGCTAGGGTAGGGTGGGGTTAGCCTCCAGCTCAGAGCAGCAGCTCATGCCCACCCCGAGGTTTCTGCAAAGTGGGCTGTGAACTTCCAGAGCCTCTTTTACCTTAGGGGAGTTCAGTACACACTATGAGTCTAGTGACAGTTTCCTTACTCTCCTTGTCCCCAGCTGGCCTCTTAGGTCTCCAGCTCCCTGGGGGAGGGTGGAGTTCAGATGTGCTTGATGCAGACAGTCCCTGTAGCTCAGAGGCCCCAAAATGCTGGGCTGGGAAAGTGGTACAAGGCCTGCCAGGAGCCACTTCCTACCTCGCTCATGACGTGGGCAGTATGGCTTCTCTGCGCTTGGTTCCAAGGCTGGGAGGTGGGATTCTTACGGTTGCCCTGGTGCATTGGTGTGAAAACAGGAGGGCTCGTGCCCCCAGCCCAGAGCAGGTGCCTCCATGCGGTGGACACCTGGCAGATGGGAGTTTCCATGGTTGATGATTAGAGTAGGGTTTCTTGTCTGAAGACAATGCTGAAAGTAAGATGTATCACTGAACCACACAAGTATGAAACAATACAAAGACAATATAGTAGCCAGCATGCGCCATCATGAGCACTGAGGGGTTGGGGCTGTGTGACTTGCCTGCTAAGTAACTGCAGGCCTTGTTCCTCGTCTCTGGGCCTCAGAGAAGTAGGTGCCTCCCTCAGTGAGCTGCTGTGAGAATTCGGGAATGAGTAGATTTCCAGTGCTGGGCTCTGGTTCTCCATTAGCGTGAACTGCTGTTGTCAGTATTGCAGTGCTGACCACTTGAAGTCTACATGAGAGGAAGAGAAGAGAATTTGATATGGAATGGAGGCAGCACACAGAGGGTGCAGTGGGGGGTGACGGGAGCCACACTCAGCCTTTGCCCAGATCGGCCACCTGTGTCTGTCCATTGGAGGCGCTGTGGTCCCAGGGAGTCAGTGCAGCCAGCCTGGTAGCCAGTGACAGGCAGTACAGTGTCTGAAGGCATCATCCCTGCTTCGTTGCCATGTATGTTCCCCTAGGAAGGCCCTTGCATCGTCAGAATTCAACACCTTTGAAGAGTAACCCAAGCCACAGAACTTCCCTGGAAGTCCTAGAGAAGGGAACCAATTCCAGAGGCAGATCAGGTTGATCTGAAACAAGCCCACCCCTAGGCTCAGGCTGGGTCATATGGCAGCAAGAGCATGGGATGAGGACCAGGTGGAGCAGGTGTAGGGTCTGCAAAAGGGCACCTGTGTGCAGCCCACGCCTCCTCCCACCCACCTATTTATTTGTCCTTTCACCACATGTTTATTGTGCATCTATGCTGGCCCAAGGTCTGTGCCAAATGCCAAGGCAACTGATTGACCACTGCCCTTGGTCCCTCAGAATCTGAGAATTGCAAGTACTCAAAGTAGTGACATGGAGCGCTCAGCTGCAGACACACACAGGGCTACAGCAATGGGATGTCCTGCACTTCCGTCCTGAAAGCAAGCTGCTGCCATGAGGGTGGGGGTGGTGCACCTACCTCCTCCCAATCCTTTGGCGTCTGCTGCTGGTTATTTTCTGCAGACCCTGGACTGTAAAAGATGCCTTGATGGGCTGCAGCTCAGCTGGCCAGAGCCCTCCAACTTTGAGGGTGAGTGTGGCTGATTTGGGACATTCTAGTGACAGGGAGGTATCACTGGAATCCAGAGGGCAGAACCTGAGAGGGCATGTCACATATTGCCCAGGATGGTCCTTTTCCATGGGGAACCTGGTGCCACAGCATCCAGAGAAGAAGAACCAGGGTTCAGCGCAGTAGGGGTTAGGGGTTCAGAACCCATGTCACACAGGCATGGCTGAAGTAACCTGACGGAGGTGGAGAAGGGACTTGAGTGAGATATAGGGCCCAGGACAAAGTCTGAGTGTTGCCGGAGTACCCGGGGAGGGATCCACTGGACCCCATTCCAGTCTCTTCTTCACTGTGGCCTCTGGCCCTAGGCACCCCACCAAGTGCAAGGACCCACTGCACTCGGGTGAACTGACTGAACTGGGAGGCACCCAATTCGGTCACACTCCATCCCCACTGCTTCACTGTTTTATGAATTCGAACAAATCTGCTATTGCTGTGAGCCTCAGTTTCCCCCAGCTGTGAAATAGGGATGATGAGCCCAGTTGCTGCGTTCTGATTCTCAGGGCTCTGAACATTAAAAGAAAGTCCTCGGTGTGCGACATCGAGCACAGTGCCTGGCACCAGCGCTGAGCAGTACACACGGGTGCTTTTGTTGCCATCCTTAGTGTCCACACTGGAAGTTTCCAGGTGGGGGGAGGGTTGAGGGGTTCGGATAACGCCTGTAGGTCAGGGTGGGGGTGTGTGTCTGTCTACATCGGAGGGTGGGTGGATAGATTGATAGCCAGATGCACAGGCGGATCTCTTTGGAAACTAAATAATTCTTAGGGCACAGGGTCACTTTGAGAACTGAAAGCTCCCCCGAGCATTTAAGGCCAGGGTCCCTCCCTGATGGTGTGAGCACACAGGTGGAGATCTGAGCACACTGAGGTGTGTGGCAAAGGGGGCCTTCCTGCACCCGGTGCCTCTCTGAACTTTGGGGTTGCAGTCTTTTCCCAGTGCCTTGAGAGAGATTCCTTGAGTTGGGACGAAATGGTGTGAATGGTCACCCTCGTTAGCTCTGCGGCCTTCAACAGGTGTCTTCACCTCTTGGGCCAGCACATTTCTCTGTGATGTGAGGATTGAATGTTTGGGTGTGTGATAGCAGAAGCTTGCTAGAGGACCTCAGGATGCCCCAGCACCTGCCTTGCTTCCGTTCTGTTCTTTACTCTCTGAGCTGGGAGAGGCCTGACTCCCTCTTTCTGGAGAAGCTGCCTCGATGGAGCTGCCAGGCTGCTGAGCCCAGGCCTAGCACTGGGAAGGAGAGGGCTACTGCCTAGACCCCCTCCCCCAAAAGATGGCTCAGCCTCCCACCAAGCCCAGCAGCTGGGAGTGTGGGGAATAGCCTGTCGACCTCTGTCCCCACCAAGCAGTGCCCCACCCACTCTGTGCTGCACAGAGCCTGGCCTGTCCTGCTTCAAAGGCCCCAGGAAGCCCCAGCCCCACTTCCTCTGAGTTCCCCTGGTTCTGAGTAGTTAAATCTCCTTAGAGTTCTGTATTTAAAGACATTTCTACGTAGAGCAATTTTTATTTTTTAAAGTTAAAAAAAATAGAAAAGAAATACCGGCAAGTACCCCTGGTGATGGGAAAATACCCTTCTTATGCAGGTGTACACCGGGCCACCCTCCTGGGTTCAAGTCCCAGCTCTTCCCAGCTGTGCCTTGGGGCTTGGGCCAGCCCTCCTGCACTCAGTGCTCCTGACTATAATGTGATGTCCACTTGACCGGGCTGTGGGAGGACAATACGGGCTGACACATGGGAAGGCCTTGGAAGTGCCGTATTTGGGATCGTGTTTAGATTTTCTGGAAGCCATGAGTCAGTTGCAAGTGGATGAAAGGGGGAGGGGGTCTTTTAGTGGGAAAGCAAGGTAGTTGCGGAAAATGGATGACCCCAAGCACACCCAAGGAAGGAGCCAAGAGTGTGGGCACATCCCGCATCCCTGGGGCGTCTGGACAGCAGAACACACAGGCTGTCCTCAGCACACAGTAGCAGTTGGCTCCAAATCCTGCCCCATGCCCTGTGCCTTCCTGCTGCCTCAATAGACATTCTGTCAGTCAGTCTTCCTCCTCACGAGGGTGTCCGGGTATTACAGAGCAAATCCGTGCCCAGTGCGTGGCAAAGTACGTGCTTAGTAAATGTCAGCTCCTCTCACTGTTGTACCTTATCTCAGGCCACCAGGCTTTTCTGGCCATTCTTTTCCATTCGTCCAGCCTCTGGGCCTTTCCTCAAGACCGTCCAGGGTGTAATCTGGACTTTATCGGAGGTTCACTTTATCATAGGTTCACTGGGAAGAAGGTGGGGCGGAAAGGGCCCTTGCCCTGGGGTTATCTAACCCGGCATTCGAAGGAAGCGAGCATTTACCTTGGTGTGGAAAGATTTTACTGTGTTTCTGTGTAACACTGGACTGGGTTTATAAACATGCAGACAGGCAGAGTATCAGCAGTGTTAGAATTATGTGGGAACTGGAGGACAATTAGGAAAACACATCTGCAAGGTTCCTTGGTGGAGGCAGGTGATGACAAGAAAGTTGAGAAACACTGAGTTCTATAGGTAAAGGAGTCCCAAGTTCATAGGACCAAGAATCAGGCTTGGGACCCAGGACCAGCCCTCTACCAGCCACTAGAGAGATGCCTCTGGTGCCAGTCTCCTGTCCCTGTCCAAGACAGAATCTCAGTCCTCCTGCTGCCCCTGAACACTAGTGACTTGCTGCTCACGGCATAGAGACTCAACCTGGGCACCGGGCTGTAATGCCAGGCCAGTGCCCAACATGGGGTGGTACAGAGAGGAGACTCAGCTCCTCCCTGGACTGGGACAAGGCAAGATGTAGAGAAGCAGAAAATGCCAGGAACAGCTGCAGCTTGGGCAGGTATGACCCAGTGGCCACCTGCTCCCTATGTGAGGGTGAGGTTGAGGTTCTGGGACCAGGAGGCGCCAGGCTCGGCTGACTATCAGTGAGAACCAGCTATCTCTGCCTTTGCTCTTCAGCAAAGTTCCCAGAGCCAGAGAGTCAGGAAACCATTGAGGGAGTTGGTTTAAGTTCCCAGGGGGGTGGGGGACTGTGTTAAGAGTGTGGGTTGTGGCCTTAGGAGCATCTAGGTCACATCTCAGTGATCAGCTGTGATTTGGCAAATCACAAAGCATCTCTGAGCCTTCATTTTCCTCCTCTGTAAAATGGGATTGAAAGCCTGGTTGCACAGTGTGGACCCCCCTGCTCCCAAGCTCGGATGTGGACCCTCGGGCTTTCTGGGGCAGAGTTGGCAGGAAATTTGCTCTGTACAAAGCTGTGAGGAGGGCCGGAATGCAGCCCTGTCAACCCCACTGAAACCTCTAGAAGCTGTTGCTCCTCCCTCCTGCACCCTGAGCCAGCAGAGCTCTGTGGCCCTCCATGAGCTGCTGCCCCACTCCTCATCTGTGATTCGGACTCACGGGGGCTTGGCAGGCAGATTCCGTGGGCGTTTACAGACAAAGCACTCATACAGGTCCTGCCTCACGGGTGCAGAGCAAACTACAGCTGTCCTCAAGTTAATGCTGTCTCTCTGGTCAGACAGGGTCTTCCTAGGAGTGGGCTGGGTGTGACTCTTGTGCTGTTTAACCAGCACTGCGATGTGGTCAAACTTGAAATACCTGGTTCTGAGTCCTGCCTCGCCACTTCCTGCCTGTGTGATGGCCCTGAGAGAGAGAGAGAGAGAGAGAGAGAGAGAGAGAGAGAGACACCTCTGCTGGGCGCAGTGCACATGGTGAGAGAAAGGTGCCCTTACAGAAGGGACACGCGAAAGTACAGTGTCCACATGTTCTTTGGCTCTCTGCTCTCTGGCTCTGCTCAGGTTTAATCCCCTTTCTTACCCGTGCAGGTGTTGGATTTTGCTAAGAGGTTGGCTACAGTTGGTCAGGCCAGGGGAAAGCCAAGGTCTGGCGTTAAACCTGGATGTGATGGATGTCTCATCAGGCTGAGCTGATGTTAGCTTAATCAGTTTGTCTAACCGCTCTGAGCCTCAAGTTTCCTCATCTGTTAAATGGGGCTAATTTTATTTACTTTATTGTACTCTTGTAAGGAGTAAGTGAACTAAGGGGTAAAATTCTGAGCATTAGTGCAGTACATGCAGAACGCACTGACAAAATAAGTCATTTCTTCTGGTTTTTCATTTATTGTGTTGTTGTCATCGTGGTTATTACAATTGCCATCAGCCATAACGGAAACAAGAATAGAAGTATCCAATAGATCAAGAGGACTGACCCAAACTACAAATAAACACTATGTCACTCGTGTTTCTCATGAATTAGTCTGCAAATTTCACCTGAGCCTATTAGAGTGGGTGAACCCCAGGTTGCATGGTAGAGGGCACAGAAGTGAGTCTTCTCTCTGATCTGAGGAAATAGATCAAGGTGTGGCAGGACTGGTTTCTCCCGAGTCCTCTCTAGGTGGCTTGTGGGTGGCCACCCTCTCCTGTGTCCTCACCAAGTTTGTGTCTGTGCATGTCCTAGTGCATCCCTGGGTGTCTAGGTTTCCTCTTGTAAGGAGATTCGTCAAGTTGGATCAGGACGGGCCTCATCGTAATTTAATACCTCCTCCAACTGTGGATCCCTGTCTCCAACCATGTCACAGTCTGAGGTCCTAGGGGACTGGAACGTCAGCATATGGATTTGGGGTGCGGGAACACTGCAGCCCCTCTCACATCCTGGTGATTCAGAAGCAGGAATGAGCAGTGACGGAGTAAGTCTCCATTCAGAGGCAAGGAGCACATGAAATTCTGGGGAACCAGGCGGCTGCTCCCCTCAGTTGCTGCTCAGAAGTCTGGAAGGTTCTGTCAGGTAGACCTGTTCCATGCTCTGCACACAGACACTGTCTGTGAAGTGAGTGGGGCTGAGATGGTGGCCCAGGACAGCTGGTGGGACACCTCTGTCTGGCTGACCACCCCTCACAGGCACCCTTTCTCATTTTAGGTCAGACTACGATGACTGGAGACCATCTCTGGCCAGCTTGCTTCAACCCATTCCATTCCCCAAAGAGTAAGTCCACTGTGCCCTGGACCCTCCCACTTGTGAGAGAAACCTCCCGAGCAGGGGCCAGTCCCTTCAAGAGACATTAGGTCACAGTGGGGAGACAGAAGACGCACAGCCAAAAGGTAGAGATGTGGCCTGGTTCTGAGGGCCCCTCTGAAACATGAGAAGATGGTAGGAGTGACCTCAGGCCTCATCACATTGTCACAGGGGTCACTGAGCTCAGAATGCAGCAAGCCCCCCCAGCCATCACTAGCATAGTCACCTTCACAGTTTTGATTACCCATCAGATGGAAACAGCAGTACCTCCTCTCTCCCAGGGAGATAGTAAAAAAATCAAAAGATAGTACACCAGGCATAGTGACACACACCTGTAATCCCAGCACCTGGGAAGCTAAGGCAGGAGGATCAAGGGTTCAAGGCCAGCTTGGGCTACGTAGTGCTGGAGCCTGTCTCAAAGATAATGCATATGGAATTGCTTGCTGTGCTGTGCAGAAAAATGCTAGAGGCTCTCTCACTGCACTCGTGTTTATTAGCTCACGTTCCACTGTGAATTTGGCTAGAAATGGGCCCTCCTCACTCTTGCCCACTCTTAGCCCAAAATCAAATGTACCACGGGAACAGAGAGCTTGTGGTAGCTAATGGCCTGAGGAGAGAACTTTGAGTAACAGGCCTCAGATGCCTCCAGGTCTCTGTTTTGATAGATTGGAAGAAGCTGGGCCTCAGGAGGCAGCTCAGCGCTCTCTCCGGAGCCCATTAACGAGCCTGTGTTTATGAAATGTGACTCCTCGGAGGGGACATTACATCCAGTAATTGCCCCATTTGCTGGCCTGACCAGGCCCCTTGGGGCCCTGGGACTGGAGACCGGAGAAATCTGACTCTTGAGAGCTGCTTCTGTCTCGGAAGGGCTGTGGTGTCATTGGCTGCAGCAGCTGTCCCCACAGACCTGGGACGCACTTGACAGTGGCCCATGATGCAATTCGCTTGGAAGAATGGTCCCTGATTGCCTGCTGATCTACGCTGGTAATTAGTGTGGTCGTGCCTTAATTGTGGAACAATTAATGAACACACCTGGATCCCTAGAGCCCACACACACCTCCACCCACTTAGCACCACTGCTGTTGACAGGTGCAGGCCTGGTGGTGACTTTGGGGACTTGGGGGGCTCAGTGTGTTCATGTTACTGTGATCTTCCCCTCATCAAAGGAGGCCTTTGTTTTGGAGCTTCAAATAGGAACAAAATGTCAGCATTTCATTCTCAACTGCCCCTTCATTCTTCAAATCAGACATAAAGTGTAGACATCCCCAGAGGAAACTGGAGCATTGGCTTGGCTGCTCAAAGGCCCCTAATAACTGACTGTTTCCTTTGTTTTCTGTGCAGAGCTCTCGCACATGAGAAGTTCACTAAGTGAGTATGTGATCAGCACCCTCCTCACCTCCTCCTGGGACAGGTGTTCCCTGCTGTGAGGTCACCACCCACAGGCAGCCTCCTTCCTGTCCTTTCTCTGAGCACATGCACCGGGGAGGGGGGCAAGGCATTTTCTCCAGTGTGCTCTCCTGTGACAGCGAGGCACACTGGAGACCAGCTAGGCATTTCCTAGGAAACACCGGCTACACCTTGGACCTGTCCACTCAGTCTGCCCTCAGCCTCTGTTCCTTCTGTGACACAATCCCCTTCCCTCCCCATGCTTCAGTCCCTACACAGTGCACCCAGGCCTGTGAGTGACCCACCCTCTTCTCTTGTAGGGAGCTGAAGTACGTGATTCAAAGGTTTGCAGAAGACCCACGACAAGAGGTGAGCCTTTTCTTGTGTGTGTGTGGTACTGGTCATGGAACCCAAGGCCTGGCGCATGCTAGGCAGGTGCCCTACCACTGAGTGTCACCCCTACCCAGTGAGCCTTTTTCTGCAGCAGGAGCATGAGAGCCTCTCAGGCCTCCTAAGGCTCCATCACTGGCCTTGTCACCAACAGGCATTCAGTAGTTCAGAGTGTCTTTGCCTTGGGCATAAACATAGTCCTGCCCGGTGTGGAGCTACCCATGATTCCATGTTGTTTTGTAAATTCAGCTAACCACAGGGCATTTTCCACTCACAGGTGGCTTCTCTGCTCTACTACAGAGGCTGGGATTGGGGGTGGGGGGTGGAGAGAGGGAGGGCAGCGGATCCCGGCCAGCTTTGAGGCATGTTGGGACCCCGTGTGGTGGTGCTGTTCTGGGGATCGTGTCACAGAAAGGATCTGATATGGGACCTGAACCAGTTTTTATTGCCTGGGTTCCCTTAGGGGCCACACTGCTCTCAGAAAAGCCAGGCTTCCAGGGCCTGTGTGTGAGAGCAGCATGGACTGAGGCCATCATCTTCCTCACCCCTGTCCATTGCATGGGTCTGCCACCAGCAGCAATATACTTTATAAGTGCTTGCCCTGTGTCAGGCACAGCCATGCCCCCATTTTATAATCCTCACACAGGCCCATGAGTGGGCCCTGTTTTATCCCCTTGTGTGTCAGAATTGCACTCCTTTCAGAGATGAGAAACGGGAGCTAAGTTATATCCCAAGATTGCCCAATGGTGTGTGGCCAAGGCTGGGTGCGAGCCCTGCACGCCCAGCTCCAGAGCCCACAGTCACCTCCACACCCTGCACCCCAGACTGTGCAGCTCCACATCCAAAGGTTGTGGAGCAGTAGTTACCAGATGTCACTGCCCAAGGGACTCGTGCACAAGGCAGGTTCCTGCCTGCCCTTCACCATTCCAGGTCACTGGGCCTGGCTGGCCAGCCAAGAACCTGTATTTTGAATGGAATCCTTCGTGGTTCTGACGTGGTCTTCAGGCCACACTGTAAAGCCTTGTTCTAGACTAATCTAGCTCTAAAACACCATAGTTCTAATGCTTGTTCCTAAATTCTTCCTCAGGTGGGATGGGAAAGCAGAAAGGCAGGATAGGAGCTTTCGGACACCTGAGTACCAGTGATGGTTTCAGTTTCCCTTAAAGCTAAGGCATTCCTTACTGCGTATGAAGATGAATTCTTGGAATTCAAACACCTACTTCAAAGTTGGGATAGGGAAAATGGTGCCAGCTGCTTCCCAGAACAGACAGGCAGAGCCAGCTGCTGGAAGGGAAATTCCCCAGCCAAGGGTACATGTGTGAGGCCCCGGGGAACCAAGAGTTAGTAAGGACCCAGCTGCCCTGGACAGCACTGTGGACCTGGTTCTCCTCTTGGCCTCTTTCTTTCCTTTTCACTGCTCTTTCTTGTTTTCTTCACCCTCCTGTTCCCCCTCATCCTTCTTTCTCCCTCCCCTCCTGCTCTCTCCTTCCTAAATGAAGCCAAAGTTGTTCTCCTAAATTCTCTGCCTGTTGGCTAGCCTTTCACAGCCTGTACCTGTATTTCTGTGAAGTAGGTAAGTCATGCTGGCTGGTCTTCCAACTCAGAGGGAAGTGTAAAAGCCTACTGCCTTTGTTTTTGTCTGCTTTGGGGGAGCTGCGAGCCAGTGACTCTGAACAGATCGTCCCTCACTCTGGAGGGGCATGATCAAACCCTTTTCTCAACTTGCTTCTGAGGAAGGAAAGAGTGGGGTGGAAAGCCAAGGCCTGTCTGTGTGCAGTGTGCATGTATCCATCTCTCTCTCTCTCTCTCTCTCTCTCTCTCTCTCTTGGGCCAGAGGTGGATATAGAGTTCCTCCCACATGTGCACATGCATGGGTATGCACACATGCAGACATACACAGCCCAGAGAAGCAACTGGAGAGTTGTGCACTGGCACTGAAAATGTCCCCACCCTAGACAATGGAGAAAGACCAACACAGAAGGAGATGGGGATGAGATCTCATGGAAGGATCACAGGGTCCCAGATGCAAAGCGATTAATGGGAAACAGACCTGGAGAAGGGGGGCAGTGCCCACCCAGACAGGAGCAAAGAGGAGGCAGTTACCCTAAGAGTGAGGATCAGCTGTGGGGCAGCAGAACCCCAGAGACCCAGATGGAGAAAGGAGGGACAAAAACAACCCCTGCCAGAGAGAACCATAGGAAATAGGCTGGAGCAGGTGATGCCCTGATGTGGCCACAATCCTGCCTCTCCCAAGGCTGCTACCCAGCAGGGCCTGGCCACTATTCTGGGGAGCCAGTGGCACACGACTGGACTTCCTAGTGTGTAGAGGGCACGGTGTTCGCAAAGGTCTTCTGTGGAATTTAGTAAAAGGGCAGAGTCACGGGTAAACAAAGTTAACTGTCTGGCTTATCTAAGCTTTCATTTTCCTGTACAAGTTTTGGGTCACTGTTGTCACGGGTCTGTGTGACACCAGTGGGATACATTTCTCCTCTGTGCGGCAGGTCCACTCGTGCCTGCTGAGTGTGCGGGCCGGCAAAGATGGCTGGTTCCAGCTCTACAGCCCTGGAGGGGTGGCCTGTGATGATGACGGGGAGCTGTTCGCCAGCATGGTATGCGGTGGGGCCTCTGCTGGGAGCTGCAGTGGGCATAGGGCTGGCCAAAATGGTGCTGGTCACAAGGGATGCTGATGACCACAACCTGTCTTTCACTCCTTATCTGAGTGGGCTTCAAGCCAGGCTAAGAGCTGGGCATTGCCACTGTGTCACTCAGCTAGCCCTGGGAGGAAAGGCCACTTTTTGTTACCCATTTCACAGACGAGCAGCTGAAGGCCGAGGTGCCGACTGCCCAAGATCACACAGTTGGTTGTTATGGTCATGTGATGTGCAAGGGACTGAGTGCAGCATACACCAGGGTCTCAGAAGACACTGCAGTCACCAGCTCAGTAACTCCTCACCACCAGAGGCGGGTGATCATCCCCCACTTAGAAGAGGGCTTTGGACTCAGCACACCTATGACTGCATCCATAGTGACTTGTGGTACACTCTCACTGCCAGGCTTCACGTGAGACACCTCACGTGCCCTACTCTTCACAATATGCATGACCCCATCACCTGATTACATCTGGGTTGAAACAAGCCTTCTTTGCAAGCCTTCGTTGGCTAGGCCTACACTGTCCAGAGGTGACTGCGTCTCCTCTTCCCCCAGGACAGCTGCTCCACTTGCTGACAGCCCCAGCTCCACTCACTGATTACAAGCTCCCAAGCTCACGTGCCAGAGAAGATACAGGTGTCAGCCAGACCTGGGCTTGGGTCACAGCCCAGCTGGTTTGTTGACCTTGAGTGGTCTCTCACCTCTCTCGGCTTCAGTTTCTCACCCGTAAAGCAGGGAACAGAGTGGACCCCTCGAGGGGACTGTAGCGATTGCACACAGCAGCAGGTGCAAGGTGCTCACTGGCCACATGTGGGCTCGGAGGCCCTGGCCTGTCCTGGTTATTCTCATCTCTTCTGGGTGCTGGCTTGGCGGGGTGAACAGTTGCTGTAGTGAATTAGGGGAGATGTTTTTATGGCAATGACAAACTGTCCTGCCACACCTGGAGCCCATTTCACAGGGGCTTATTTTCAGGTCCTCTTGCATACTTCCTCACACCCCTTCCTCACCTGCTGCCACTAAAAGGCTCCTTTCTGAGCACCCTGTGCACCAAGAAACATGCGCAGCCTGCCCACCTGCACCACCTCTTACACTTGCCATCACCTCTTCACTGACGTCACAGCTTCACCATGGCAACCCCGTCCCCCACCTCTTAATGTGGGGACTGTAAGAGAGAGCACTCAGGAGCTGGCAGTTTCCCAGCCTGAGAGATTTCATTTGTACGCCAGCATTGTTAATGATGGAGCGGAAAAAAAGATAGCCAGGGAAGGAAGCAGGCAGCCACTGGGATGGAGATGTGTTGTTTCCATGGAGACTCATGACAAGGAAATGGTCCTGGACCAGGCTGCTGCTTCGAACCCAGAAGAATATTTGCTATTGTGTGAAGTTGGAGGGGCGGGAGGTCTGTCTTCCCTGGCTCTGCTAATGGGTTGGAGACCTCTGCCCTTGGGCCCTGTACTCCATATTCAAGAAAGAAAGATTCCATTAACACACAGTCCAGGAGGGAGCCCGTTTGCCAATTCTTAGATTGCAGTGTGGCCATCTCCCACGACACCCTCACAGAGGATTTAGGCCAGGAAAGTGAGCACCAGGTCCCTCATGTGCCAGCCAGGGCTGGGCACCCCCTCAAGGACTGCCCAAAAATTCCCGTCTGGTTCCAGCTGGGGTAGGAATTCACAGGACCAAATGCCAGCAGCCCCCCAAGATTGCTGCAGAGGGGAGCTCTTTCTTTAATCATGGTTAAATATATATAACATAAGAGTTGCCATTAACCATTTCTGAACATACATGCAGTGGTACCTCGTGTATTCATATCTAGAACTTTCTAATCCCAGCCTCACCTCAGGGTCCACTAGGCACTGGCTATCCAACCCCCTGCCCAGGCTGGGTCAGCTACTGTCTGACCTCTGTCCCTCTGAATGCCTATTCTGGCTTTCCCACATCAGCAGAATCATCTTTGTTCTTTGTGTCAATCAGCAGCATGTCCTCAAGAGCTGTCCAAAAGGGAAGGAGGGTCTCTGCAGCCCCAGGGAAGGTCTGATGGTCACTGAATGCCTAGCTGTCCACAAAGCATGGGACAGGGCTGCCACTTTGACCCTCTTCCTACTTCCACTCACCAGAAGCTGGCACTAAAGGGCACAGCCCAAGGTTATCACATGTCTTCACCTAGGCCTTCTTGCCTCACAGGTGCACATCCTCATGGGCTCCTGTTACAAGACCAAAAAATTCCTGCTCTCCCTGGCAGAAAACAAGCTGGGCCCATGCATGCTGCTTGCACTGCGGGGGAACCAGACCATGGTAGAGGTAAGGAGCCTGTGCTTCGTCCATGTTGAATGAGTGCCTCCCAGGAGCAAGGCAACCGTGGGCATGGCAGGTGCAGGCCCAGAACTCCTGAGCTTAGCAGGCACCTTTTTCAAACAGCTTCTTTGATGTGTTAGCCTGTTCTCATCCTTTATTGCTGCCCCCAGGGTGTGGTGCGGAACTAGAATTCTCATTTGCTTGGATGGCTGGGCTCAGCTGAGTGGTTTTCTCTTGGATTCTGACGGGGTGACAGGTGACAGGCGCCTGTGAGGGCGACAGGGTGTAGGCTGGGCTCGGTCCTCTTGAAGGCTTCTGCCACTGACCTGAGGGGAGTCCAATAGTGAGCAGCCAGGGCTCCCGGCCTCTCCCCTTGTGGCTTCTGAGAAGCCTCCCGTGGGCCAAGAATGTAGCCCCAAACCCCTCAAGTCACCACTCTCTGCTCCTCCTCCCTCTCCCTGCTTCCCCACCACACCTCAGAGTTCCCCAGAGCCTGGGGCTCTGAGAACTCCTGCCCCAGGAGAAATGGGGCAGAAGCCTTGTTGCTTTCTAACTTAGCCTCAGAAGCCAGAAGGTGTCAGGTTTCCACACTGGGTCTTTTACAAGTGAGTCACCAAACCAGCCTGTTAGTCAAGGGATGAAAAGGAGACCCCATCTCTCAGGGGAAAGAGCACCAAAAGATGCTCCAGGTGTGTTGTAAAATCACAAGCTTCCCATGGAAGTGGGAGTTACGGTGAGGTTTGAGGCCTGAGAAGTTAGCTGTTAACTGAGAAGTCCAGGCTGCAGAGCAGCACAGTGGGTAAGAGGCTTCTTGAAGGCCAGGGTGGCTGGTATGTAGTAAGCCTGGAGCTGAGAGGTGTGGGCCATGCCTGGACATGCTTCAAGCCCATTACGAGCCCAAAGGTGCTGCTGAAAACTCTGGTACCAGGGACTAGGAGGGTAGGAAGGGGGTGAGGAGGGAGATGGGAGGGAAGGGAAAGACACTGGGCCAGGTGGACTCCCTTGGCAAGAAGTTACTGCGAAGGGGCCTTATTTGCAGCGCTGGCTAGCGCTGATTGTTCTGATCAGCGTTGTGTTGATCTGGACAGGAGAGTGGTGCATGCAGTCACCTGAGACCCTCCAGGCAGCCTCTCCCTCCTGCTTGTGCCCCAGGACCTGCGAGCTGCTCCTGACCCCTGCTCTGTACCAGGGAGACAAAGGGGTTGGTTTGCAGGGCTTTCCGCTGTCACTAGGGGCCTGACTGCCTTGTTCCTATGCCTTTGCAAGGGGTCCCCTCTGTGCAATGCTGTGTGGCCACTGGTGTCCACTACCCAGAATCACCCAGCCACAGTACAGAAGGGGAGGGCGTGTCAGTTCTCAGAGTGAGACCTTGGGATGCACAGTACGAGGCTCATCTGCAGTCCCCCTCCAGGGGCTGCAGGCCGCAAGCCTCCCCCGTGACGCGCCTCTGTGGTTTGCGCAGATCCTGTGCTTGATGCTGGAGTACAACATCATTGACAACAACGACACCCAGCTGCAGATCATCTCCACGCTGGAGAGCACGGACGTGGGGAAGCGCATGTACGAGCAGCTGTGCGACCGGCAGCGGGAGCTGAAGGAGCTGGTGAGCCCCAACCCAGTGGGCCACTGGGGCGGGACGGGCACCCTGGGCCTTCACCTCCCTGCTCTTCTGAACCCAAGGAGGTGGGCGTTGTAAACTGTCACTTTCCAGGTGATCAGAAAGAGGCACAGAGTTAAAGCACGAGACCCAACGTCCTACCCCGCTTAAGGGGCCTGGCCAGGGCTGGGTCCCCTCTCTGCCAGTACCCAGCCTCCTTGTCAGTTCAGTTCATGGGCCAGTGTCCTAATGCCACACCTGCTCCTCCTTGCTGAGGGACTGACTGTCTTTGCACACTCATACATGTAGCCTGGCAGGGAAGCCGGGGCAGGGCTGACAGCCCTGTCTCCTGGAGCCACCCTCACCTGTGGCTTCGGGCAGAGGGAGTGTGCCCTTAAGGGACATTTGGGACACAGTTTCTCCACCATTGCCCAGAGTCCCCAGTAGTTGTTGGTGCCAGGTGCCCCAGTGAGAACCTCGGTCTCACTTCCCACCCCCTACTCGTGTTTCTTGGGATCACGACTCCAGTAAGCAAGCCATCTGCACTCCCATGACTGTCGTGTTGCCTTCTACCAACAAGAAAGTGGTGAGGGTCATTAGCAGAAGGTAGGCGTGCAACGGAGTCACGAAGGGCACATTTTAACCAGTCCTGTTTCATTGCAGCAAAGGAAAGGTGGGCCCACCAGGCTAACACTGCCCTCCAAGTCCACGGTGAGTTGGTTTGGTTCTCCGGGGTAGGTGGATTGGGGAGCCTGCCGAGAGGGATGGTGAGGGAAGGGGAGCAAGGACTCCCTAGGAGGGGACAAGCCAGCTTTTCCAGGAGGTAAGTGGGTTGCAGGAAGAGACTTGAAAACCAGAGAAGTAAAATGTTATGAAGATTGGTGGTGGTATAAGGGCTGGGGGTGAAGCTCAGAGGTAGAGCAGCAGCTTAGCATAAGGGAGGCCCTGGGTTCGCTCTCCAGTGCCATAAAACAAAGAAAAAAATCTTGTTGATATTGATGCTAATTTGTTCCCAGGTATTGTTAGTAATAGTGCTGGTGATAGCAAATATTAGCCATTTATGTGCCAGAGGCCATGCTTTTAAATCACCTTACCTTCAGAGCCCTATAAGATTGGTGTATTTTGCTATTGCCATTTTCCATGGTCTTCAGGGATTATTTCCTTCTGTCCTGTTGCCCCACTGTCCTTGATACTTGGCTTCCCCTCATGAACCAAGATGTCTGCCTGAATTCCAGCCATTGTGTCTCCATTCCAGTCAGCAGAAAGGAGTAACAGACAGAAAAGAAACTTCTTGAAAGTTCTGCTTGACATGTTCTTTTATATCCCATTGCCCAGATGTACCCTAGCCATACATAGCTGCAAAGGAGGTGGGGAATCAGCCGTAGTTCAGGGCAGCCAGGTGGAAGCTGAAAGTCAAGGATGGAAGGGAAAATGACATTGCCCATGGGCCCCTGAGTGTCCAGTGCACAGGCGTTTGTGGCTCTCTTCAGGCTTAGAGCTGAGGTGGCCTCAGTGTGCGCACAGGAAATGGGCAGGACTGCTGCTGGGGAGGGCAGCCTGTCATATGCTTGCGTGTGTGCACGTACACACACACACTGTGGGAAGGGGTGGCCTCAGAACACCCCAGCTATGACTCAGGGTGTGAGTCACACCGAAGGCCACTCCTTTGCCTGCAGCTGCTGACCTGGCACACAGGCCACCCCTCCCGCCCCAGGGCCCAGGAAGGGTGGGGTCTGGGCAAGGTGACAGGTTGGGCCATGGGAGCCCCAGCCTACCCTGAGTCCCACATCGCCCTCTGCAGGACGCTGACCTGGCCCGCCTGCTGAGCTCCGGCTCCTTCGGAAATCTGGAGAACCTTAGCTTGGCCTTCACCAACGTCACCAGTGCCTGCGCCGAGCACCTCATCAAACTGCCTTCTCTCAAGCAGCTCAACCTGTGGTCCACGCAGGTGCGGCTGCCGCCCCTCCTCCACACACACTCCCCCCTCCCCCTGCCCTGTGTCTGGCCCATCTGCCTAGAGCCTGTGGGCCCAGCCCCCTGATCACCACATCCTACATGGGTTCATTGAGCTCAGCACCCACTCCCCCCAGACAAAAAGAGGTTGAGACCTCCTGATGCCCCATGGCCCATGTCACAGTTGAGAGCACTGAGGCCCAGGACGAGGGCATGTGCTGGGTCCTGGGTTGGGGAGAAAAGCACAGCTGAGAGCACACAGGTGTGCAAATCTGTCTTCATAAGGCCTGCTGAACCCAGCTCTGTATCACTGGCTGTCATTCCCTGCCTAGTTTGGCTCATGCTATCTCTGCTGTGTCCTAGAAAGTGCAGACTCTGCCATCACCACCTTTAGCAGCTGGAAAAGGCCACCTAGGGGCCACCTTGGAGCTCGGGAGTCACTGAGTTCTAAGCACCTTGACAGGTGGGAAAACCAATTCCCAAGGAGGGCCTAGCCTGTCCTATGCAGAAGCTGCATCTGAACCCAAGATGGGGGCCTTTGATTCTTCAGAGCGGGAGAGAGCAGCCCAGAGCTAAGATCAGAGGCCACAGCCTCAGCACTGGGCTTGGCTCCCCTCCCTCCCCATGGCCTTACTTCCTACGGCCTAGAGGGGCTAAGAGTTTCTGTATCCCACAGTTTGGCGATGCTGGCCTGCGGCTCCTTTCAGAACACCTCACCATGCTGCAGGTGCTGAACCTGTGCGAGACCCCGGTTACCGACGCTGGCCTCCTGGCTCTCAGCTGTGAGTACCTAGACTGCAGGGATGGGTGTGTGTCACCCAGCCTCTCTGGAGCCGAGCACCAGTCTTGTAGAGCAACTTCTGTGCATGCTGGGTGTGCCAGGGGCTGGGAACGAAATGTAGGAGGCGTCCCTGGCCCTCAGAGAGCCTGCAGTCTAGAGGAAAAAGGAAAGTGAGTGAGGCTAGCCCATCCCCTCACAGCATCCGGTCCATCAAGGGATGCCTGTGCAAGGAAAAGGCACAAGGCCATCGCCACCACAGTCCCCAGCCAGTAGCAACCCTGGGAGGGTTAGAAACATGTTTTCAGGCCCAGACTCCTGGCAAACTGTATTACACCTTGAACTAGCAATTGGATGCTGGTTCCCATGCCCTGACCCTGACCCACTGAACTATAGCAGGGCATTTAGTCTGGAATCTGCATTTGACCAGCTTCCTGATTGTGGACCTGCCCGTTTAGACAAGAGGTCCTGGGGCTCAGTTGCAAGGGCTGAAAGGCTTCCAGGAGGCAGGAGTCTGGGTGTGAGGACAGACTGTAGGTGGTGGTTGAGGAAGAAGCAATCTGTGCCCCTGACCTTACAAAGTCATTGCCCAATTCTGATGGTTCAGGGACTGCAGAGGGTGGAGGCGGTGGGAACAGGAGGCAGGTGCAAGGTCTGGAGCCAGGTCTCTGCAGCAGGCTCCTCAGAATCACCCAGTCCTAGTAGTGGGGCATGTCCTCATGAACACTGGAGACTTCTGGGCCCACCCACACCTTCTGGTGTCCCAGAGCAGGCGAGGGGATGCTTGTCTCCACAAGCTCCATATAACTCCAACATGAACACAAGTTTGAGGTTTGCTTTCTAGAGGTCAAAAGTCAGAGACCAGACCCAGCAGAACCAGGCCTGACCCATCTGGGCAGGTCTGGAGTACGGCAGGTGGGCACTGCGGACATCTGGTCTAGGCAGTAAAGGTATACAGCAGGGGACCTTTGATGGAGGGAGGGTCAAAGAGTGAGAGAGCATAAAGACCCAGTTCAGACCACGTGCCTGGAATAGACTGTTCCCAGGGGGCCACACTGGCAATGCCCATAGCACCGCAGCTCCCCTGTCTCCACTGGGGGTGGCCTTTGCAACCCACATCTACAGCAGCCCCTCGTGGGGGCTCACTGTCCATCTGTCCTTGCCCAGCCATGAAGAGTCTCTGCAGCTTAAACATGAACAGCACCAAGCTCTCAGCTGACACCTATGAGGATCTGAAGGTAAGCCCATCCTTCCCACAGGGCAGGCATCTTTACCCTTAGAGGGAGCTGTTTCTGCAGGGAAGGGGCTGTTACCCCAGCAGATGAAAAGTGAAAATGAGGAGGGCCTGTGTGGCATGGGACCACCAAAGAAGGTACCCTCAAAGAAGAGGATGAGGAAGACCAAGTGCAAAGGCCCTGAGGCAGAAAAGATGAGTGGGAACTGACTGTAGCAAGTACAGCTGAGAAATGGGAGTGAGAACAGGCGGGCCAAATTGGAGAAGCCCTCCTGAGTCATGGAAGGACTTTGGATATCATCCAAGCTCAGCAGGACACCTCCAAGGCTTTTAGTAGGGTGCTGAGTTAGCTTTTACAAACTTGTTCTGGCTGTTGTATGGAAGATGGATTGTTTGAGTGAGAGCCAGAGTAGAAGCAAGGAGGACGTTTATGGGGCCGGTGCAGTCCCAGGTAGCAGCTGAACGAGGTGGCAAGATAAATAAGTAGGAGGAAATAGGAGGACTTGAGAGGAGGCAGGAGCTGAGACATACCTGTAAGAACAGAAGTGCTTCTTGGGGAGATGGAGGGCGGGGCCTTCACCTCCCTTCCTAGTCCTCCTGGCTGGAACCAGCTTTGCCAGAAGGAGCAGACAAGGTGGCAGTCAGCGCCCTGGAAAGGACAGTTTCAGCCCAAAGGCAGAAGGCGCAGGTGGAGTCTGTGGGGTGTGCTGGCCTCTAACACCTGGGAGCCATCGAGAAGGGTGTTCTCGATGGCCCTTGTCTAAGGCTGCCAGGCTCAGGAGGTCACTTGGTCCTGGAAGACATAGGGCTCAGTGAGAGCAGCAGAGAGAGGATGGTCAACAGAGTGAGGCCCAGGGCGGGGGACGAGGGGCAGGAAGGGACAGGGGTGCCCGTGGAGCATTCATGGCTTCAGGACCTCAGCACTCAAAAGTGCCAGGCATGAACCATCACTGTCAGCGCCAGTCATACTTCCCGGAAATGCAGAACCCAGGCCCCACACCTGAACTGGCTGTGCATTTTCACACTCACACACACACACACACACACACACACACACACTCTCTCTGGATGACTGTGCACACTGCAGTGTAAGAAGTATGGCCTTAGAGCATCTTGCATTCAGGTGCCAAAAGTGCAAGCACCACCAAGCCCAAGCAAAGGGAGGCACGTGGGAAAGGCTGCTGGTGAGGAATGCCCACTTTCCTTTTTTTTTTTTTTTTTTTTTCTTTCATACACTTGTGAGAGACACAGAGTCAACTTGATGCTGGCCTCTGACCAGCCTTCGTGTTGAGGGAAGAGAACCTGGATACCTAGATTCTTCTGTGCAGCCCCTAATCTAGAGAGATGACCTTAGCTATACTTCCCTGGTGGGCACAGGCCCCTGCTTGCAGCTTCTGTCTGGGAAATGGGAGCCACTTCTGAGGATTGTGGATGAGAGAAGGGCAATGCAGAATTTGTGCGTGTGCATGCATTGTTGAGCTGTGTCGGCGGTGTATAGGAAGTTGGAATAGCAGGAGACGAGTTAGGAGGCACCTGCCTGTCTGTACTATGAAGGCTTGTTAGAAAAAAGCCACTGTTTATAAAAGAAAGCAGGGTCTAGCAGCAGGGGCTGAGAGCAGGATGCAGCACTGAGAGGGGGTAGGTGGAATGGTATCATGACTGTGGATCTGACCAGGGTCCAGTGGGAGGACTGGCTGCCTACTGTTCTTGCCTGGGACTGACTGACACCCCTCCTTCACTTTCCCCTTCTCAATCATGATGGGGCATAATTAGCAGTAGACAGAGTAACCAAGGTGGTGCTTTGGGCTCTCCACACATGTAGCATTTAGTCCCAAGCACCGACTTTTTAACGAGGGACTAGACTCAGTCACACTGCATACATGAGGAAGTTCAGGGTCATGTAGCCAGCAAGTTGCAGAGCCTGGTTCAAACCCATCTTCTTTTTGATTTTTTTATTTTGATTTTGGTGGCCCTGGGGTTTGAACTCAGAGCTTCATACTTGCTAAGCGGGTGGTCTACCACTTGAACCACTTTGCCAGCCCTTTTTTATGAAGGGTTTTTTCAAGATAGGGTCTCTCGAGCTATTTGCCCAGGGCTGGCTTTGAACTGCGATCCTCCTGATCTCTGCCTCCTGAGTAACTAGTGTAGGCGTGAGCCACTGCCAGCTTCCAACCTGACTTTAGATCTGCAAAGCCAGCCATCTATAGCCCGTCTGCCATGGAAGCATGGAATCCTCCTCCTTCCCCCCTTCTGGTTTCCTAGCCTCTCTGTCATTGCCCTGGGGCCACCTGCTCTGTGCTCTGCCTAAGGTCACCCAGGGAGGAGCCCACAGCACCACAGTGGAGAAGGGGCTGGTGGGGACCCTCAGCCACACACGGGTCAAGCTGGGCATTATGCAGTTCTGGAAGGAATGGCTCGTGTGTGACAAGGACCCTTCTCACTGCCCACAGGCAAAACTTCCTAATTTGAAGGAGGTAGACGTTCGCTACACGGAAGCCTGGTGAAGCTCCTAGCCTGTGAAGGATGGCGTTGCAACTGCGACAAACAACTCTGACTAATAGCCGTGAGCAGCAGGTCCTGGGATCGTACCTGGCACCTGGCTGTGGGATAGATGGGGAGTGTCTCTGGGCAGAGGGGGGAGGGGTGGGGGGTCCACAGCACGCCCAGCCCCGCCTAATTCTTTTAGCTTCATAATTGGAACCTTTGACCTGATCTAAAGTGGACTTTGTGGCAAGGAGAGGAGCGTCAGTGGCTCGGGAGGGGGGGCGGGAGGGGGGGGGACCCTTTGTGGATTTCCTTTGCCTTTGTGTTCAGTGCCGTGTGGGAGGGAGGGTCACCTTGAGCCACCATCTCACCATCTCAGCGGGACAGAGGATGCTTTCTTCTGGAGGCCCTAGCTGAGCTCACCCACCACTGGGACGAGAAGACCCAGTCACGTCATCCCGCCGTCCTGTGTCCTCACCATTGCTATGCAAAGTGGTTCTTGTACATAAGATTATAATAATGCGCCTATTTAAGAAATGTCGACAAATCGCAGGTCTGGGACCTGCTCTTATTTATGAAGTCTTTGGCCCCCTCCCTGCCCACCCTCTGGCGTGTAGCGCTGTATGAAGCAGCCAGCTGTCGGGTTAGTGATAGTGTCATGTTATTTTTTTAAAGGAAACAAAACAAAAGAAAAAAATGAAAAAAAAAAAAAAAAGTCCCTCCTTGGAAAATGAATTGCTTTTTCATAATGGATTCTGTATGCTTAATGCTCTTCCGTTGGTCTGTCCACCTGCCACTGTGTGTTTCCGATTTCCAGGTGTTTCCAGCTCTTTCATGTGGGGGTTAGGCTAGGGAGGAGAAGGAGGAAGGAAAAGGGGTCCCCTACACTGTAGCTTGCTCCTCTAAGGCCCGAGCTCTTTCCCTGTCCCCTTTTACAGATTTGGAAGGGATCTAACCTCTCCTCCACCCCCCCCATCCACCACCATAGAAGAGCTGCCCCCCCCGCCCCGCAGAGCTCCCATCACAGCCTTTGCTGTCCCTGCCCCCACATGAGACTTGCGACCGCAGCCCCCCCTCCATCAAGTGTGCCCCCCCCACCCACTGTGGTCCCCCTCACGCATGCCCACCTCTTTGCATGGTCTCTGGGGAGAGGAGAGATAGGTCACCCTGCCAGCCCACCCCACCCCATCAATGTGACCACTGCAACAAAGACGCTCCTTCTGTCCCCACACCTGCTTCGAAACAAACCAACTTCCTTCCTTTTATAACAGTCAGCTCTTTCTTACCAAGCCCTCACTGTACAGACAGCCCCTCGATAGTTTATTTGGGGACCCCCTCTCCCCCAGCCCCTTTTTCTGTTGGTTTAGCACAAGTGCTCCCTCCCCAGCACCTCCAAACAGAACCACAGTCGATGTAACTGTTTTATATATATGTAATCTTATTCAGTGGAAACCACGCTTGTCGTTTTATACTTTGCTAGGTAGACTTTATTACCCCTACTATGCCCTCATTTTTTTAAAAAAGGAAAAAAAAGAGAAATCGGGTTTCAGTCTTAATTCACTTTACGTGCCAGGTTTTATTTCGTGCGTGCGTGTGTGCGTGTGTGTGTGGGCGTGTGTGTGTAGAGTGCATTCTGTTTTGTGTTCTGTTTCTGTTTTCTGTTTGGTTTATCCTCCCCCTTCCCTACCCCGTTCCGTACTTCACAGCACCCTGTGCAGGAAGAAGCAGAAGAAAAAAAAAAAAAATTTAAAAAGGAAAAAAAAAAAAAAAAGAAGAAACAAGACATGCCACCCTTCCCCTGCGTTGCTTTTCCTGATGGTTACTACTGTCACGTAGCTGTGTACAAAGAGATGTGAAATACTTTGAGGCAAAAATAAACTGTAAGTGACTCATCCATGTCTGTCTTTCTGTGTGGTTTTGGGGGCTAGAGGGGCATAGCCCAGGTCCAAAGCTGGAGGCAGGACCGGGACTCTCTCCTAAAACCACATGGCCCCCTGAAGACCATGGCCCCTCACCCTAAGCCCTCGATGCTTGGGGCCAAAACCTGTTGCACTGAGATGTGCTTATAAGATATTGAACTGCATCCCTCTGCCTGCTGGCACCACCCCAGCTCTCCACTGCCTCCTTGTGACAACGAAACATGTCTCCAGTCCTTACAGGGATACCTGCTGTAGCCCCAGGCCACTGCTGCTGTTGAGTGGGAGGCCTTAAGACAGCCCTAGCCTGCTGCCTCCCCAGCCACCTGGGGGGTCTTGTGAAAAAAACAGCTCCCAACCCCTATCCTCCCAGGTCTGAGTGGGCCCAGGGCTCTGCATTCCTGACAACCATTGGCCTGTGGCTAATGCTGAATTATATGGGGCTTTCGATCTCAGAGACTAGACCAGACCATCAGCTTCCTCTTCCCCCAGAGATGTCTCCAAGAGACAAACTCGTCCAAAGAGAAATATTTCCACTCCTCTTCTAAATTAGGTCACCTTCCAGGGTCTCCCACCATGTTATGTCAGTGTCCTGCCTACCCAGACCACCCCATCCTCTTCCTGCCAACCCTAAGCTAGGCCCAAGGCCTCTCCTGAGGAATGGAGTCCTGGCTGCCACCTGTCCAGCTCTGCACACATCACCCTTCCTTGGGCATTGTGAAGGTACCAGTGGCTTAGAACATGGCCAGCTCTGGTCTCACCCATGCAGGTGCTCTGGGAAAGAAGTGGGCCTTACCAAGGAGGGAAAATCAAATGGAGTAGTTCCAAGAGTCCTGGATGGAGTCCAGGAGCCTGGTCCTCAGACCAGATAGCCCCAGTGTCACCATGACCAGCCACAGGCATTGTGTATACATGCCCATGTATGAGACACTTCAACTTGGTCCTTGTCACCCAGCCTAGAGTGGAAAAATAATAAGTGGGGGCAGGGGGGCACGGGGAGGACCATGTTTATGGCTTAGCTGTGCACTCACCTCCAGCTGCACCAGATTCTGGGCCAATTCCCTGATAGACTGCCCGAGTTCCCCTCATGGGCTTCTGGGAAGCCCATGCTATGACAGCACATTAAGGACATAGTTGCAGATAGACAGGGAGCCCCTCCCAGGAGGATTTGCAGTCACCAGGTACATGTGCATGGACCCTGAGTGACACAGGAACCTCCTGGCCAAGCTGGAAGGGCTCTGAGCTGGTCCCTGAGAATCAGCTGGCACAAGTTTTCAGAGCGAGGGGTGGTTGCTGACAGAAAGTCTCATACCTGGCCAGTGGGAGTATAAAGTGGATTGGGCACTTTGGAAGATATGTCTGCTAAAGTGAAACAAATGCCTGTCACTGCCCAGCATCACTGTTCTGGGAGATGCCCGGGAGAACTGAGCTACATCCATCAAAAAACGCAATGTTTACAGCAGCACGTTAGTAGGCAGTAAGTGGAAGCAGCTGAAATGTCTATTAAGAGAATAAACACATTGCGAGAGGCGTGTCACGGAGCCATGCAAATAAAGACATGGAACACATACCATGGAATTCTACAGAACGAGAAAAAGAAGGAGTGACACCCACAATGACATGGGTTCCCTGGGTAGATGTTACTTGAGTGAGGTGAGCCAAACACGTGAGAGTTGGCTATATGACTCCCCTTCTAGAAAGTCCACCAATAGGCATAAACCATCCGTGATGGACACAGTGGTGCTTAACTCTGCAAGGGAGTAGTTGTTGACTGAGATGGGACAGGAAACCTTCTGAGGTGAGACACCCTGCCTCTTGACCTGGGCTTACACAGATGGCTGCTACACATTCATGAAGCGCTACACTTAAGATTTGTGTCATTTACTGTATATGTCACACAATGACTTTTCCAAAGTGACATCAAGTAGAAACAACCCAAATGTCCATCAACCAATGGACTGTGGACTGTAGAGAGAGTGGAACATTACTTGGTCATAAAAAGGAATGAAGTACTGATACACAGCACGAGTGGCAAGCGAAAGAAGCCAGACACAAATGGGCACAAACCATGTGATTCCTTTAAACATCCGTAAGAGGCAAATCCATAGAGACAGAAGGCAGATTGGTGCTTGAGAGGCATGGGAAGAGGGAAGAATGGGGAGTTGATAGCTAAAAGGCACAGGGTATCCTTCAGGGGTGATGGAAATGTCCTAGGATTAGATAGTGGCGAAGGTTGCACACGCTGTGAGCGTGGTGTCTGCCAGTGAAATGTCCATTTTCAAAAGGTTTACTTAATGCTACTTGCGTTGCACCTCAAAAAAAATTTTTTTTAAGTACCATCGAAAAGGAGGTTTTGCCAGGCACCAGTGGCTCACACCTGTAATCCTAGCTATTTGGGGAGACTGGGATCAGGAGAACTGAGGGTCAAGACCAGCCCAGGCAAATAGTGCAAGAGACTCTTTGCAAGCGTGGCTGACCCGGAACTCAGTGTCCTGACTTGACTTCTCCAGGTGTGCATCGCCCCACCCAGGCGAAAGAGAAAGCTTTTCTTGTCAGTACTGGGGTTTGAACTCAGGGTTATTGGTGCTCTACCACTTGAGCCACCCACCAGTCCTGTTTTGTGTTGGGTTATTTTTCAAGATAGGGTTTCACAAACTGTTTGACCAGGCTGGCTTTGAACTGTGATCTTCCTGATCTCTGCCTCCTGAGTAGCTCGGATTACAGGCGTGAGCCACCAGTGCCAAGACAAAAGAGAATTTTTTTTCTTGTGGTACTGGGGCTTGAACTCAGGGCCTATGCCTTGAGCCATTTCACCAGCCCTTTTTAGTGATGGGTTTTTTTCTCATGAACTATTTTTTGTCTGTGCTGGCTTCAAACTGCGGTCCTCCTAAACTCTGCCCCCTGAGTAGCTGGGATTGCAGGAATGAGCCACCTGCTCCTGGCTGAGAAGTTTTTGAGTGACAAGACAGCCGTTGCTCCTCTGAGCTGGGTCTGGACCCGGTGGGGTGAGTTGTGCCATTGTGACTCCTCCGGGAGTTGGATTTGTCCATCCTTGGGAAGCCGCTTGTGAAAGTTTGTCCTTCCTTAAAACACTTTACTGCCATCTGCTGGAGAACTGTCACAACAAATACAAAAACCTGAGGTGAGAGTGGACTGGTAGCCTGCAGCTCTGTGCAATGCACAGCTCACTGTACGTGGTGGAGTGCGTGACTGTGTCATACCTGTGTGTGACTGTGTCATACCTGCAGTGTCCCTGTCTGGATTTGGAGGGGCCCTGAAAGCTCTAGTGCTGGATACTAATGCTGATGATACTAGCCAGCAAAGGAAATGGCTACTCAGAGTGTGATGTAGGCATCACACTCTGATGCCTACTCTGATGTAGGCATCGTGGATGTGGGCATGGTGTGTGGATCAGAAGTGCAGAGCACTGGGCTCCCCCCATGCCTGCAGAATCAAACTCTGCCTGCTCAGCAAGGTCCCTGGGTGATCGTGGGCAGCACTGCCCTCAAAGTCTTTTCTGCACACTGGAGTCACCTGGGGAGTTTGAAACACACTGGTGACTGAGCTCCCTCCCAGACATTCTGACTGAGTGGGTCTGGGGTGAGGCCTGACCATACCACATTTAAAGGCTTCCCCTAGAACTGATGAAGTGGCTTAAGCGGTAAGAGTGCCTGCCTAGCAAGCTTGAAGCCCTGAGTTCAAATCCCAGGGTCACCAAAAAAAAATTAAAATTAAATAAAGGCTTCCCCCAATGTGCAGCCAGGGTTGAGA